AGTGACGCTCAAATTCTTAAAAAGATTAATTTTACAGTTGCCAATATGAAAATATCTTAGGCAACGACAAAAAATTTACTTCTTTTGCGCCTTTTGTTTTTAATCTTTTTATGTGTTTAATGAATTTGACTTCTATTAAAAAAATTAATATGGAGAGACCGGTTTATGAGTTTTGAATCTTTAATATAATGAAAGCAAAATGCTTTCAACTTTTGTTTAGACGACGACAACGATGATACAGCTAGCTAACATTAATACTTTCTACAATCATGCATAGTAAATAAAAATCATTAAATTTATTTTATAATATTATTTTTTTAAAAAAAAATAAAATTTTTAAAAATATCCTTAATTTAATAGTTCATTTTGAAAAGAATATTAAGAGAGAGAATATATGAAAATTGACACAATGTTCATATTAGAAAAACATAATTCATGAAAATTTATTCTTATCAAAGGGTTTTGTATTTGAAATGATGATTTTTTTTAAAAGTGTTTTATAATTTTGGATTGGGAGTAGTATTATTCAATTTGATACATGATACAATTGGTACAAATAAATAAGATATTGGGGAATAATTTTTCATGACATAAATTTACTAATTTTAAAATTAATCATTAAATAATGAGAATATTTAAGTTAATGTCAATTATTAATTTATCGGATAATTAACATGGAAATTGTGGTTTAGACTATGCCACATATTAAATATATTCTATGGAAATTTAGAAGGTTTAATATGGCAAAAAAAAAAAGAATACTGATAAAATAAAATCCATTTAATATCCAATTCTCTTAAAATAAAATTAATACTCGATTTTTCTCAATTAGGAATTTTCACAACTAATACAAAAACGGTCAATAAATTTACCAAATTTTGAATTATATGGTATTAATAAGGATATTTAATCATTGTCATCAATAAATTTATTTCAATTAATGTCCGGTTTTTTATTATTTAATTTTATAATAAATATAGAAGGGTTAATGAATATCTTGAATCTTTAAAACTATCATTTGAATAATATTTTAATTCTAAACTTTTAAAATGAACAAAAACTCTCTCAATTTATAAATTCTGAGCAAATTATCCTTGCTATTTATCCATATAACATTGACTGTTATGTAGTCCAGTTGGCATATTACATGTCAAGAGGGGGATTAGTGCCATATCATCCTTTGACTAATTCCCACAAAGTCAAAAGTAATGGCAATTATTCCTTCCGGTAAAAAATATAAGGCATTTTTGGAAGAGTTTGATGTTAAAAAAATATAAACATTTTTAATCTTTTAAAATGTAGTCATTGTCTTTTTTTTAAAAGCGTCCCTATATTAATAAAAATCATTTATATTTATTTTAGAGTGAAATATTCTATTAAATATAAATAAATATAAAAAGATAGAGAGTTAATTTAAAGAGTAAATAACTACTTTATTGGGGATAAGGTTCGGTTTAAAAATACCTTATAATTTTAAATTGAGAAAGTATATGCAAATTCATGATGGGGAGTAATTTGCTATTCGAGTAATATTTTAGTGTCTAATATGCTTATTTTAAGAGTTTAAGTTCTAAGATATTATTTGATTAATAATTTAAATTTAAAATTTATGATTTTCATTAACCCAATATAGAATTAGACTTTCGTCCATTTGTCTTCAATAAGTTTACAAATTTAAAGGGACGTAAGTAATTAATGAATATCCAAGTAAGGAGAGAAATTAAAATTATTATTCCAAAAATGTATTATTACGTTTCAATTATATGAACCTATTAATTCACGTTCGAATCATTGTATCTAGGTAATCTCAATATCTCTTCTTTCGAGCAATGGACATACTATTTCTTAGGAGTCACGGAGAGTAAGTAGGGCTTCCCCTCCTTTAAAAAAGCAAGAATTTTAGTCAGGGCATCCCAAAGCAAGAATAAGGTAAAGAAGACCCAAAGAAATTTGAAATTTTTCTACAAACTCAAAGGTCATAATTGTAATTAAATTTTCATTGAAATGACACAAATGCTCCAACCTCTTTTATTTTATTTTATTTTTTCAAAAAAGCATTACTTTGCCAATTACTAAAGCTATCGCACTAATGGCTGAAGCTTTGATATAAGTAGTCAAATTTTGTTAAAGGAGTCGGGGGTATTTCAACCCTTGACCCCTTGGTTGTATAAAAAGTAATTTATCACTAATTATTGAAACCATTTAATTATATAATATAAAATATAATATATATTATAATTTTGTTTTCAAGCGTTTATACGGTTTGCTGTTAATCATGAGCGCACTATTGATTATATTCAAATAATTACTTATAAATATTCAAATATGACTTGTTTATTTATATATAAAAAAATTGTCAATTTTTAAAATCCTATCCAATTTTTTTAACAACTTATCTTTTTAATATTAACAAGTTGTCAATATGACGTTACATAACAAAATACTCCATCCGTTCAAAAATATAAGACATTTTTAATCAAATCTTATCACTCAATAAGGTAGTTACCTACTTTCAAACTAACCATATCTTTTTATATTTACCTCTATTAAATACCCTATAATAAATATAAAGTCACTATTAATAGGGCACTTAAAAAAAAAGGCACTAATTACACTTCAAAAAGACTAAAAATGTCTTATATTTTTAAACATCTAACTCCTCAAAAAATGCTTTACATTTTTAAATGGAGAGAGTATATGTTATAAATTAATTTTTCTAGCATTTTTATGTGTTTTGGTTATTAAATGGATAAATTGTTATTAATATTTAAATAATCATTTGCAAATATTCAAACATGACTTGTTCAAACATAAAACATCACTTGTAAATGTTCAATTTACAACTTGTCATAACTTCTTCTTTTAATTTATAATCAAGTCATGTTTAAATATTTACAAGTGATGAAAAAATACTTCGTCTTAATTTATAAAATACTTTTAAATAAAATTATACATATAAGTAAAATTCATTAAATATACTTCATAATTTTATTTTGTCAAAACAAAAATATAAATTTTAAAATATACCTTTCATTTAATACTTCATAAATTATATTTTAAGGTGCTAAATTTCTACCAAAAGTGCCTTCTAAAATAAGATGGACGTAATATATGGAAGCTTTAATTACTTTATAATGATTAAGAAAAGTAATTAAAAGTTATTTGCATTATTAACATGATAAAAAATTATCACTACTTACTGCTTTTTAAATATCACTTCCAATTAAAATCAATATATCTTAGTTGCATTTAACTTCTTTTTCATATGATCTTTTTATAATACAATTAATAGGGATGTTTGCCAAAAAAAAAAAAGAATCACTATTAATTTTTTTAAAAAATATTCACCAACACTAGCTAATAAAAAAAATAGAAAGCATCACATCCAATAATTTAATAAAAAACTTATTCGCAGACAAATGTTAATGACAAGTCTCATAAAAAAAAACAAGTCTTTATTTCTATTTAATAATAATTTATTTTGTATTAATCCTTGTCGGCAAATAAACGTGATTCTCCCTGAAAAAATATTAATACTGTTAATAAAAAAAATGCTATTGTGCTAGGTGTTGGTTTCAAATTGTCCTTTAACTAGAATCAACATTTTGTAACTGTTGAGTAAATATTTAGCAGTGTCACCATGAAATCAAGCTCACGCGCGATATTATTTGCTCGAGATTAACCAGAACAAATCTCCTTTATACCTTAATAATTTAAAGAGGTTTGGAGTATATTTTCAATGATTGAAGGCAAAATAAAAAAGAAAAGAGAGAATCACATACAAGACTTGCCAAAGGAATATATTTACATTGCAGAACCAATGGATTCTTAAATTACTTTGCAGGCACAAAAGCTTCAAATACAATTATTTTCAAAGGTAAAAAAACTAAACTATCCTTAAGTAAATTCACATGGACTCATGTAAACAAACAGATTTTCTATTATAAATTATTGAACTTTTTTCTTATTTAATGACATTCTATCAATAATTTTTTTTTTTGGCTAACTAGCAAATGTTCTTCTTAAGTACAAGTGTTAACACATAAGAACTCTTGTAAATAAACATTTTCCTTGCTTTAAATACTTGAACTTTTCTTGTTATTTTTTAATTAATTTTTAAATTTTTTTTCAAGTATAAGTGTAAACCCATATGGATTCTTTGAATAAAGGGATTTTTTTGTTGTAAATAATTGGACTTTTTTTGTTATTTATAGACCTTAGGTTATTAATTTTATTTGGTTAACACTTGTAAATTTTCTCAAGCACAAATGTAAATCCATATGAATTTTTGAGAATAAATGAACTTTTTTTTTATAAATAATTGAACTTTTCTTATTATTTAAGGATATTTTGTTGTTAATTTTATTTGGTTAAGTTGTGAATTTTAATTCTTGTAAATAAATGAATTTTTTATTGTAAATAATTAAACTTTACTTGTTATTTAAATATATTTTGTTATTAATATACAACACAAATGTTTTCACTCATTAAGAGTAGTTGGATCTTTCAATTTTGAAAATAATTGCATTTAAGACTTTTGGGCTTGTACAGGAATTTCAGAATCTGTTAAGCTTGCAGTGTGAATATGTTCTTTTGCCGGGCCTTGCATGTGATTCTGCCAAAAACAGAAAAACAACCTTGCCCCAGCTTTATGACCTTATATGGGGATTATGGGGAATCAGAATCATAATTTTGGTTTATATTTCCCGCACAAAAACAGCATAACAATTGAAGGTATTAATCAGGTTAGGTAGAAAGCTGAAAGAAGATTTTAAGCGGTGCATAAGTAAGGCTAAAGAAGGAAGGAAATAGCATCTCGGAAATTTGCTTTATGACACGTGGCATCATCTGGTTCATCCATCAAATCGGACGGCCTTCCTTTGCTTACTTCAGCATTCTTCAGGCTTTCGACACTTCAGGCGATCTTCTTCGTGCCTTTCTTCTTTCTTTCTGTTCCACTTTTTCCTGGTTCACTTTCTCACTCTTCTCTCAGCATACTCACTGACTCACTCTCTTCTTCATTTTTCAAGTTCCTTTCTAGCACCGCCATTTAATGCCTGCTTTGTTTTTCGCCACTGAAATGATCATTTTTGTCTCTCTTTTAAGTTTCAATGTGTTCATTTAGAGGATCCAACTTCACCTGCTAGACCCTGAGCGAGTTGTTTGCTTTCAAGTACGATCGGCTGACTTTCGTTTCTGCAAAATCGAAATGGCTTCAAGTTTCTGATGCTGATCATTTGATTGATCGACCAGTTTGAGTCTCTGAGTTTTCATACTTCTCTGCGTCCAAAGAGGTAAAGAAACCATAACGAAGAGGCTTTTGACTCTTAACGGAAAATTTGTCTGTAAAAGCTATTATTTTGCGTGCAAGGCTTTGCTGTTTATGTGGATGAGTATGTGAATATGAACTATGTTCTCGGGAATATATATATTATATAGCTGTGAAGTTCTTAATACTCTCGAGTATAATATTGCCCCTTCTAGAGAGTAGGAAAGTGAATGCTCAGATGTTAATCCACTCGCCATTTGCTTAACATTGGTTTCTTTTGCCTTTTCTTTCTTTTATCTGGACTGGGCGGGATAAGAATGAGCAATCCTGAATTATAAACGCCACTTGAGGGTAACTCATATCGTAAGAAGGATGGATTTTTCGTTTAAGCGTTGTTGCAAGTTAGTTTCGATTGTCATTGGGTCCGCCACACAACACAAATGGAAAAGAATATAATGAAAAATTGGATTTTGATGATGTAAAATAATCTCGTTTCTCTAATTAAAAATTCAAAAAAAGTAATGAAACAGAGAGGAGTACTGAATGTCACTTGGAAAACATGAATTAACAAATGGGCATGAGCATTGGCGAATATGAATTGTGAACATTACTTTATGCTAGCTTTGGTTGAGGGTGGATTGTTAGGCAAAGGAATGCAAGTTCGATTCTCCTTGCATAGCCCCCTTGCTGCCATTTGAGTGAGGGTGGGATGAGAATCAGTATAATGCCATTTGAAGCTAGCACATGTGGTTGGGAAGATGGGGTGCTAGCTAAAGGATTTCTAGTTTGATCCTTGTGTGTGCCACACATGGGTGGGGTGGTGGAATCAGAATTAATGTAGGTGAAGGCTTGCAAGTTGATCCTCCTTGGTTTGACCATTAGAGGGTGATTGTCATGAGAATTAGTAGAGGATCACTAGCTTGATCCTCGTGTATTCCACATGAGTGCTGATGGAATAAGAATTAGCTTGGGTAAAGGATCACAAGTTTGATCCTCTACTTCACATGGTTATGATTTATGAGGATTGGGTGTTAGCAAAGGATTGCAAGTTCAATCCTCGTGTATGTCACTTGAAGAGGGGTGGAATAAGAATTAATTACTACGTGTAAAGGGTAAAGTTCAATACTTTTTATTATTGCCACTCAAGAGTGGATGGAATAAGAATTAGTGGAATATGATTCTTTTCTTTCTTTCTGATGCACTTGAAAGATACTTGTGAACTGGTTTAAATCTTCTGCTTATAAAAATTTTCCTTGCTCATTCTGCAAACTTGGATGAAGCTTTCTTCTTCAATGGGTGTTTAATTCCGTTTCATCTATGTTCCTAATTTGTCACATTCAAGCTACTGCAGAAGTTCACTGGAAGACATCGCCAAGTCTATTTGCTATTAAACTCAACAATGCACAGAAAGAGGCGTTTACATCAATTGAAGCATCCATTTGATTCTCACCGTAAGCTTTTCATTTTCTTTACTTCTATCCATTACTATCAATTCCTTGAATTGCAGCACTGGTTTTACATGTCTTATAGAGAATTAACCTTCCAGTGCTGTAATTAAGGAAAAAGGAGATTTTCATTTGCAGGATAGACATGATAGACTTAACTTCTTTTAATGTGATCACCAGTTGTTCTTTGATCATAGATATTCATGTCAATGAATATTCTTTTAACATACTAAGATCCCTTTATATTTCTATACAGCATTTGAGGCAATTCTCCATGGGTCATGGCAAGCTTTGAGGTACATAACGATTGAGGGAGGAACAATGGTCTTTCATTTTAAAGGTAACAACCATGTGGTTAGAGAGAAAGCTCCCATTTCAGACCTTCGGATAAGATCTAGGAAAGCAACTGTATCAGATTGCTCCAGCTTTTTAAGACCAGGAATTGACATATGTGTACTTTCTTCCTTTCAACAAACTAATGGCTCAGATCAAAATAATCTTAATCCTGTAAGTGAATATTTAAGTTGGATTTTATCTTCTAATCTTTAGTTGAGGTTCTTGAACTGCATGGACTGAAAAGCACAATTTCGTAATCACTTTTTGTTGAATTATAAAATACAAAATTGTATCACCACCTTATTGCTTCTAAGTCTTGAAGTTTCTTTCTGAGTCATTGAGTGTGATGTGTGGATAACTCCTTGCTGTATAAAATTTCAACTGTTCCCTGATTTTCATAATGTTTTTATATTATTTGATAGAAGTGTACATTGGAAAGTCACTTTGCTTCTGATTTCTCATTTCTTGAGAGTTGTTAGAGACATTTATAAAAACCAATCATGGCATGGTTCTTCTTCTTCTTCTTTTATACAATTATCCATTATTCCTGGGCAGAGCCGGAGGACTTGAACTCAAGACCATTGGTTAAGCCAGCATAACCCCTTACGATTTGAGCTCTGTGGTCGTTGGTATTATGGTATGGTTCTCCATGAATGATTGAGTGGTCAAGAATGCGATCCTTGCTATATCCCTATTTTTTCTAGCTAAGATTCAGTTTCAAATGGTGCATTTGTGTTTTGTTCACACTACAAGATTGAATCACTTTGGTAAGATAGAGTCCCTTGGAGATATCAATAAAAATCAATCATGAACAAAACATTTAAATGTTTAAGCTTTTGGGTTGACTTGGTGTATGGACCTATTTGTATAGAATACATCTATACAGTGAACATTCAATGGTTTTGTAATAAGGGAAAGTGTTGTCTATATTTATGAGATTACTAGATCGTTGTTTTTGTTTTTATCAATATTGTTGCCCTGCTCCTGGCCCCTGTTAAAGTCCTGTTAAATGTTCCGTCACTGAAATTTAAATTTGATTGGCAGAATTCTTTTCATTGTAGGTGTGGGTTGATGCTAAAATAAGTTCTATACAGAGAAAGCCACATGAACCTGGGTGCTTGTGTCAATATTATGTGAACGTTTATGTTAATCAAGGTTGTGTTGGTTCTGAGGTAAGAACTCTGAGTAAGGAGATCAAAGTAGTTGGAATAAATCAAATATCTATTCTCCAAAGGCTTGAGCATAGTCCTTGTGAAGATCAGCACTATCGATGGGATTCATCTGAGGATTGGCATGCAGTGCCACAAACTAAATTGCTTTCAGGGAAATTTCTATCTGATATTTCATGGTTAATTGTCTCATCTGTTTTAAAGCAGGTTTCATTTTGTGTGAGATCTGCAGGTAACAAGATTGTGTATCAAATCATGGGGGTGGATGATAATAGCTTCCTGTTGGATGTTGTAAATTTCAGAATAGACAACAGCATGTTAGTACCCATTGTTTCCCAGGTTATTTCATCTGACACTGATAAGGTTGACAATACAGATGACTCCCATAAAGATAAAGCATTTTCATCTTATAATCCTGAGGGTTTGCGTCGTTCCAAACGTCGAAATGTACAACCTGAGCGCTACCTTGGCTGTGATGAGACTCATGTGTTGGATGTTGGTTTTGTTCGAACCAGGCCATACAAGATGGACATTCGAAAAGATGATGGAGAGGATGATGAATTGTCAATGCCATTATCATCCCTGATTGGTTTGCAAAAAAATTATGGAGTGATGGATGATGGCAGTGGACTGAAGTTTAATAAGATGACGTCTTACAACAAACTTAAAGTGTATAAAAGGAGGCCTAAGTCTAAGGAGGTGAATTCAGGTGATGTCAATATAAATGAAATTCAATCTCAACTTGCCATTGTTCCTGTTCCTCAAGAATGTGATCCTATTAACATTGAGCATTTTGATTCCAATGCCAAGGTCTCTAAATATTACACACAAAGAAATGTTGAATGTCCTACCAAACATTATCATGTGATGGGCAGTCCTGAACCAAAGAGGAATAATATGGATTTGTTAACTTTTGAATCCTATAATCATCCTTCAAAGATTCCAGGTCTTGAAGATTGTGTTGAAGAGATTGATGATATTGCTTCCCGATGTCATTATAATCTTGGCACCCCTAAAATAAAGAGGAAGAATTCATTTGGTTTGAATGATACGGATTTTGAAAGCAGATGGGAAGGGATAAATTCTGATAAAGCAGTTCAAGGGAAAAAATATCATTCAACAATTTCAAGAGGCAAACAATCTGATGAAGAAAGAACTTATAAAGCTAGGTCCTTAAGTGCAGGTGCCTACAAGGAATTGATAGACTCATATTTAAAGAATATGAATGCAAAACCATCTGAAGCAGAGCCACCTATTACTGAGCAGTGGATACAATTCAAGGAAACAAGTAACTTAGGACAAAAGGGGGAAACAAAGTCACCCCAAATTGAGGATGAGAAAGAAACCGATGAACTAGATATATTGTGGAGAGAAATGGAAGTTTCACTGGCATCAAGTTATGTTGAAGAAGACACAGAGGTATAGCCATTTACTCTGTCCTCCTTCCTTTTTTGTGGGTGGGGGGAGGTGAGTTTGATTTTAGTTTTTCAGTTTTCCGGTAACAAAGAGGTCTAAGCCCATTTCTATTAGTATTTGTTAGTTCACTTTTATTTTGTTCACGATCTTTTCCAAAGCTAACACAGTTCAGCTATCTCATCAGGGTTCAAGTGCTGCAGTTTTTACTGAGACCTGGGAAAAAACTGATTCACTTTGTCGCCATGATTATAGAATGAATGAAGAAATTGGAATTTACTGTCTATTATGTGGCATTGTCAGTGCTGAGATGAAAGATGTTTTCCCACCCTTTGTAAGTTTTTGAAAACTTTGTTGAATTTGCATGTTAGTATGACTAGATATGTCTTGACATGTGTTTTTTTTTTTTTTTTGTAAGTTTGCATCAAGATGGACACAACATGCCATAGGAAGGTGTTTTCTATTTGTAAAATCAATGATAGGTTAAATACTGTGATCCCAAAAGGAACCCTTTGGTTTATTTGTTCTTTGTTATCCAGTGCTCTCCCCATCAATACATTTAGCTACTGATGTTAATTATAATCTCATGCCATTGGTTAGATAATTTTGTTTATGTTTGCTCAGCAAGTATATGACAATTTGTCAAATATGCAGTTGGAACGTTCAATGTGGCACCATGAGGAGAAGCAACACAGCAGAGAAGGTTCAGAACCAGAGCCAAAGGCTGATGAAAATGATAGTTTCCATCTTTTTTTGTCTGATGCTCTGCCTGATCAACCTATAACTGGAGAAAATGACAATGTGTGGGCTTTAATTCCTGAACTTAGGTGGAAGTTGCACATCCACCAAAGAAAAGCTTTTGAATTTCTTTGGAAAAATATTGCTGGGTCTATGGACCCGACACTTATGGAAGCGGCATCCAAAAAAAGAGGTGGTTGTGTGATATCTCATTCTCCTGGAGCTGGAAAAACATTCCTTATTATTGCATTTCTTGTTAGCTACTTGAAGTTATTCCCAGGGAAGCGACCTTTGGTTCTTGCTCCTAAGACAACACTTTACACATGGTACAAAGAATTTATCAAATGGAAAATTCCTATTCCAGTATATCTAATTCATGGTCGTAGAACCTACCGAGCATTCAAGCAGAATGCAGTGGTTTTTCATGGTGGTCCAAAGCCTACTGATGATGTCAAGCATATTTTGGATTGCCTGGAAAAGATACAAAAGTGGCACGCACATCCAAGTGTTCTAGTCATGGGTTATACTTCATTTTTAACATTGATGCGAGAGGATTCAAAGTTTTCTCACAGGAAGTACATGGCTAAAGTATTGAGGGAAAGTCCTGGTATTCTTATATTGGATGAAGGGCACAATCCTAGAAGCACAAAGTCAAGGTTGAGGAAAGGTTTGATGAAAGTACAAACAGAATTGAGAATATTACTTTCGGGCACATTGTTTCAGAACAATTTCTGCGAATACTTCAACACTCTTTGCTTGGCAAGACCAAAGTTTGCTTTTGAAGTGTTGAAAAAACTGGACCCTAAATACAGGAGGAAGACGAAAGGAACAGGAAAAGCACGTCATTTGATAGAGGCGCGAGCTAGAAAATTCTTCTTGGATAATATTGCTAAAAAAGTTGACTCAAATGATGGAAAAGAGCAAAAGCAGGGTCTGAACATGTTGAGAAAGATGACCAGTGGTTTTATAGATGTTTATGAAAATGGGAACTCAGAGGATCTTCCTGGTTTACAAATCTATACATTGTTAATGAATACTACTGATATACAGCATGAGATTTTGAATAAACTCCAGAAGAAAATGTCTGGGTGCAATGGATATCCTTTGGAGTTAGAGCTTTTGATAACCCTTGGATCAATACATCCTTGGTTAGTCAAAACAGCCGCATGTGCTGAGAAGTTTTTCTCTATAGAGCAATTGATGGAGCTAGAGAAATGGAAATATGATTTAAAAAAAGGGTCAAAAGTGAAATTTGTTTTGAGCCTGGTCTACCGTGTTGTCAGGAGTGAGAAGGTTCTTATGTTTTGCCATAACATTGCACCTGTGAGGTTATTTACAGAATTATTTGAGAAGTTCTTTGGATGGCATAGAGGTCAAGAAGTCTTGGTTCTTACTGGGGAGCTAGAGCTCTTTGAACGAGGAAGGATAATGGATAAGTTTGAGGATCCTAATGGAGCATCAAAGATACTTCTTGCTTCAATTTCATCTTGTGCTGAAGGCATTAGTTTGACAGCAGCCTCTCGGGTGATTTTATTGGATTCAGAATGGAATCCATCCAAGACAAAACAGGCTGTTGCACGTGCTTTTCGTCCTGGTCAGCAAAAGATGGTTTATGTGTACCAGCTGCTGGCAACAGGCACATTGGAGGAAGATAAGTATGGAAGAACAACTTGGAAAGAGTGGGTTTCCAACATGATTTTTAGTGAAGAATTTGTGCAAGACCCTTCCCGTTGGCAAGCAGAAAAGATTGAAGATGATATATTGCGAGAAATGGTTGCAGAAGACCGCTCCAATTCATTCCATAAGATTATGAAGAATGAAAATGCATCCACAAACTGATTCAAGGTACACTTTTTTTCTTGGGAAAGTTATGTATAGGTTCCGTGGAGCAAACTTATTTACAAATAAGTCTTGTGAAATTCAGAAATTACAGTCAGGTCTTTTGGAACCTGAGTGTAATTTGAAGTTAGGCTGCAAAGACAATAATACCCTATTAAATGTACATTACATTAACCAAATAATTAATTTACAACTATTTTATCAGCAATTTACAATTATAATATCAACTTTTTACAATTGTAACTTCGCATATGAACAGCTAAACAATTATTTGTTACTAACAAGTGTAATATCAATTATTTACAACTAATTCATCAGTAATTTACAACTATAACTTCAACTTTTTACAGCAGTAATTTCACATATGTATGTGAAGTTATTGCTGTAAAAAGTTAAAGTGGTAGTTGTAAATTACTCATGAAATAGTTGTAAATTATTTGACTGATGTAATGTATATATGTTTAATAAGGGTATTATTGTCTTTTTATCCTAATTTTAAATCACTCTTAGGTCCCAAGGGACTTAGTTGTAGTTTCTGAATTTCACGGGATTTATTTGTAAATAAGTCTACTTCATAGGATCTATATGTAATTTTCCCATTTTTCTTCCTCATGATAATCACATGCCATTCATTATCCATTTCACTTTGAGTTCTGTTGTATATGTTTGCATGTCCACCCATTTCCTGAGTTTTTGTATAAATGCATGACAAGATGTAGATGTTTGACCTACTCTCTCTTGTAATTTCCCAAGCCCACATCTATACGTAAGCTGATTGATTACTGAGAAATCATTTTCACATGGCCTTAAAAACATGTGATGCAGAGTAATCCAAAGATCAGGGGTCACATCTTGAGATTTTATTTCTGAGGATGAGTGAGCTAGGCATCTTAATCATGTAATTGAATTAAAAAAGGATCTAACTTAGCTGGGTAAGAAATAGCTAATTGCAGTGGATATCTGTAAATAGAAAAATTAATTTAATTAGGCTATTTACTTGATTATTTGCTGAGATTAAGGGATATTTTCTTTTAACCTGAAGAGATTAAAGGGAAATTTAAAAATAGACAAATGTTGGTATTTGATGAAATACTATTTGCTGATAAAAATAATTATTACCAATAAATAACACGTTCATGAGTTGGAAAATTTATTTAGAGATATGATATTTTTACAGTTTAATTTTAGGAGAAAAATTACTGGAAAAGAGTGAGCTTAACAAGTTAGGTAGAGCTTATTTTAAAATATATGAACTCAGAAATTTATTTGGTTCAAGCCTGTTAAATTATTAAATATTCACTATTGAACTCATCTTCCTTTTCAGTAAAATAATAATAAAAAAGGAGAATCGGACCATTTGTCAAATATTCTTCCACTAATTCTCTAACCCTAAGGTCAAGCCTCTCCCAGCTGTATTATTGTCATTTTCAGCGCTTCATTCATCTATCCCACATTCTGAAAACCCAAACTAAGGTTCATAAATTATAAATATAAAGAGCAATGACTATAGAGTTTCATGCTTCTTCCTCTTCTATGCAAGCCAAGATGAACCCCATATCCTCACTCTCTTATAAACTTCTATCCAAATAATTTCTCCATTTGGTTCTGTTTTACTATGCTGGGAAAATCAAGCATATTGGGTAAATGGGTTGTTTCAGATGAGAGAGGGAGGATTTTTGGTTGCATTTTTGTGAGGTAAATTTCTGGATTAGGAAAAATTTGAGGGTGAAAGATCAGGTGAAGAAGATGTAAGTGTAATCTCCTTTTACTTCGACCCTTATTTTCTATCTGATTGGCTCTGCCAGTTGATATTCATGAATTTTTTTTTTATTCACATGATTCATGCATCTTGTTTGAATATGTGGGATGAACAAATTTAATTACCTTGCTATGCGTTGATCCTTGTGGAAAATGATGGAATGTTAGAAACCGTGAAACTGACTGTTATAGTGAAGTTCAGGCAATAATATTACTCACTTCCATCAGAATGCATTATCTCATGAATAAAAGTTTATTAAGGGGTTTTGGAAAATACAAATCAACATAATAGCCATGGATCCTAAATTTTAGAGTTATGGCTTCTGTATAGCATAATATATCTTATTTAGGTTATAGCTTGTGGGGACATAAATGAGTTAAGTGCTCATTTGGTTCAATTCCATGCTTATTCTTGATATTTGGTTGGACTTAGTAATGTAAAAGGGATTACATTATATCCAAATTCCCTTCCTAAAACATAAGTAAAGTATAATATTTGAAAGAATTGTTTGTATATTTCCTTGATGAACAGTGTGTATGGAGTTGGTCATATATGAGACATGAACAATGCAACTGTGACAGGTGTTGCATGAGGAAGGATCTAGATTCTAGAATAAACATATAGAGTGATGTGAGTCATGTGATTTGTATTTTCTTATTTGTTGCTGATGTGGATTCTTTTGTTGACTTGTGTGGTTCATTGCGCCCTTGCAAGTCAAACTGTGCTAGTGAGACAGTGAGACTCAAATGAAGACTGGCAAAGTGAGATGAAGACAGTGGCTTAGTGAGAATATCAACAAGTTGATCTTGTGAGGAGACATGAAGGATGTGGAGTAGTTTAGTTGCAAGATGTTCTCAAACAAAATGGTAATCAAGTGAGATGTGTTTGGTGCAAGAATGAAAGACTGGATTGGCAACTAAGTAAGTGGCTCCCCAGTTGTCACAGAAGAGGAAAGGAACTTGAGGTAGGTAGATGCCAAGTTCATATAGAAGGCTTTGAAGCCTGATGAGTTCACTAGTTTTGGTGGCAATGGCTTTGTATTCAGCTGTAGTGTTTGATCTAGCCACTATAGGTTGTTTCTTTGAACTCCAAGCAATGAGATTAGGGCCACTAGTGGAGCGAAGATCATTAGGATTTCCTCCTCAATCTGCATCAGAGAAGGTAAATAGAGAAGTAGAGGGTGAAGGATGTAGATGCAGGGCATAGTGTGCTGTACCATGGAGATAACGCAAAATTCATTTAACAGTAGTCCAGTGTGACTCCTTTGGACTATGCATAAATTGACGTACACAATGCATAGCAAAGGTAATGTTGGTTTAGTGAAGTTGAGGCATTGAAGACTACCAACAATACTTGGGTATGGGGCAGGATCACTAAAGTGAGGGATGTCATGAGAGGATGAGTGTTGGGTGCCATAGGTGTGTTGATTGGACGTGCTTTGGACATTTTGGACTTTGTAAGAGTATCATTGATATATTTTCTTTGAGAAAGAATAAGACCAGATTTGGATGGCAAAACTTCAATTCCTTGAAAATAGTGGAGAGAACCTAAATCCTTGATAGGAAAGGTATGACTCAAAGCAGTTTTAAGGTCTTGAACAGCCAAGTCAGAGGAACCAGTCACAACAATGTCATCAACATAGACCAACACATAAACATTGCAATGAGCATTATTGCAAATAAAAAGTGAGGCATCTGACCTAGAAGAGTGAAAACCAAGTTGTTGCAGCCGGGAGGTGAGTCGAGCATAACAGGCACGTGGGGCCTATTTGAGGCCATAAATTGCACACTTTAATTTGTAGACATAGTGAGAATATTCTGGATGAACGAACCCCAGTGGTTGTTGCATATAGACCGATTCTTGAAGGAAGCCATGGAGGAAAGCATTCTAAACATTAATTTGCAGCATGTGACACGCATCACTTCTATATGTTTATTCTAGATCCTTCCTCATGCAACACATGTCACAATTGTATTGCTCATGTCTCTATATATGACCAACTCTGTGCACACTATTCATCAACGAAATATGCAAACAATCCTTTCAAATATTGTACTGTGGGAATATCTGAATTTATTGTAAATATTCTAGCCTAATTATTAGGGATTATTGTTGATTATTAGGAGTTATTAGCATTTATTACTTTGTCTCCCAACATTGTATATATATATTGATTGTAACACATTTTTTAATATGAATAAGAAATATATTTCTCTTAATTTCCACATGGTACCAGAGCAGTAGGGTTCATAAAAATTTCCTAGGGTTTCTAGGTAGTTGGGTTGCATGGCAACACATCTGTTGTGCTGGTCATGCATGTCAATCATCGTAGAGGCTTTCCTGACTCTCATCGCCGACATAGATGACTCCCTAAGGTGTGATGGGCGAAACCCAGAAATCTGGTGACAACTGGCGGCGTGTGGAGCCCACACGTGCCAAGCGGTGCATGCAGCGCGTGGACAACTTGGGCGAGTGATGACACCTTTGGTTGCACTCAAGTTAGTATTTTTGGCCAGAACCACCAATTACCCGAGTCTCAAAAGCCTTATTTTGAAGTCCTCTAGTCTTGGGTGTCTCGTCCAGTGTTGTTATAACCCTTAGTTCACCTCCGCTAATTCTAGAGTGCTGTTTGTGGTGGCTCTCAACTTTACCTTCTATGTGTCTCTATTTTTTGGCATACAAAGGGTACTTTAGCCTTCAATTGATGCTATCATCGTGGGATACATATCAGAGTCTATGTCCTCTGTGTTAGTGGCTAAAAAGGGTACCTTGCTTCAAGCCTTAACAACGACACGAAATACATCTCTATGGATTGTTGATTCTAGAGCCTTTGACCATATGACTAATTGTCATGAGTTGTTTTTCACTTACACCCCGTGTGCCGGGAATGTTAAAGTAAAGGTTGTAGATGGTTAAAAGTTGTAGATTCCAGCTAACTGATTTTGGAACCTTTGGCCAAATGAGTAATTGTCATGAATTGTTTTCCACTTGCATCCTGTGTGGTGGGAATGTTAAAGTAAAGGTTGTAGATGGTTCCTTGGCACCTGTAGCAAGAAAAGGGAGTATTCGTATTCTGACTCGATAATGTTGGAATTTGTTCTCCATGTTCTTAAACTTGATTGTAATTTACTTTCCATCAGTTAGTTGACCAAGCAGTCACATTGTTAGCCTAAATTTCTCCCTTCTCATTGTGTATTTAAGGACCTATCATTTGAAGTGACAATCGGAAGTGCCAAAGAGCATGAGGGGCTCTATTATTTCGAAGTCACCACTTGAGTGGGAAACTCATTGATTGTTGGTAACTCTGTATTTACTTCTAAAGTTAATAATTTTATGTTATGGCATAAGAGGATGGGTCACCTTAATTTTTCTTTACCTTCAGCGTTTATTTCCAACTCTGCCCAAATATGAATGTTAATGATCTTCAGTGTGAAGTGTGAACTTGCGAAACACCATAGATCTTACTTTCCTAAGAGTCCCCTACACACCTATAAAACCATTCACAACCATTCATAGGGACTTGTGAGGACCATCTCATATTCCCTATCGTACTAAAACAACGTGGTTCATTTCCTTCGTAAATGATCACACTCGTGTTTGTTGGGTTTATCTTTTAAGAAACAAGTCTAAGGTTGCATTCACATTCATGACTTTCTTCAACATGATCAAAACTCAATTCAACACCACCATTCAAATTATACACACCGATAATGGCGTTGAGTATTTTGACCCATCATTGAGTACTTTCCTTGCCTGGTATTGCTCATACAAGTTCTTGTGCCCATACACCCGAACAAAATGGGGTTGCTGATAGAGTTCTGAGATAATGGGTGACCTGGGAAGATAGATATTATAAATAAATATTATTTTCAATTTATTTTAGATATTTTATATTTAATAATATTGTTTTGATTTTATTTAGATATTTAGTTGTCTAAATTTTATATAGATATTTTGATATTTATGTAGATATCTATATATTTATCCAAATATCTAGTTATTTATATTTTCTTTAGATATTTAGTTATTTAGATTTTATTTAGTATTTTATATAGATATAGATTCTAGGACGTTTTATTCAATTTTATTTAATTATCTAGTCATCTAGATCTTATTGATTATTTTAGATTGTATTTAGCATTTTAAATATGCTTAGCAACTCAGAAGCAAGCGTATCATGAATAAAACAGACTTTTGAGACTTGGCTCTTTGGAGATTCTCCTAAGCGTGACTATTGAGAGAAGTATAGAACGAGATTCTTGTTCTATATCATCTTAATAGATTTATTCCTTCTATTTTTTCTATCAGTTTTATGTTCTCTTATCAATGTTATGAAGTTAGATTTTGATTTCATGTGTTAATAGAGATTTATCTTTTGAAAGAAAAGATCATCATATCCTTGATGTTACTAGAGCCCTCATGTTTACTTGCAATGTGACCAAGTTTTATTGCGGGGATGTCGTTTTGATCGCAACCCATCTAATCAACCATATGCTCATTCGAATCCTATCTTTTGAAACCCCTCTTCACAAATTACAAAATGTTTTCTCCACATCTCATATTGAAACTAATCTTTCACTTCGTGTGTTTTGTTACACAACCTTTGTCTATAACCACCAAAACACTAAACTTATCATCGAGCTACAAAATGCATCTTTCTTGGCTATTCTGCTACTCAGAAAGGATTCCGATACTTTGATCTTGTCTCAAAACACATTTGTTAGTCTTGATGTCAGCTTTCATGAAGATACACCTTTCTATCCTAATCCTTCGATTCAAGGGAAGAACATAGGTGAATCTTAGGCTTGAAGACAAGAACCTAATAAAGAATTGGTACTTCTTGAGTCATGGTTTACACTGAGTGAGCCATTACTACCACTACCAACCCCTGAACTATTACTTTCACCTACCCTAACAACACCACCATCTCCTCCTATGTCACGACATGAAGAACACATGCAGGCAGGATATGTAGAAAAACCACAAAAGAGAGAGCTATTTGTTTACACTTGAAAAAAGAAATTGAAAAACAATGATCAACTTGTACCTAAAGCACTAAGAGAGTTTGAACCAGAGGTAGTTCCTGAAGCAGAAACTCATGGTGACATAGAAGTTGGGGTAATTCCTGGAACCCTAGAGCTAGATGGTATAGAACAAGTAAGTGAATTTGTTGATTTTGATCTTCCTATTGCTGTGAGGAAGCAACCTTGCTCATGTACCTTTCACCTAATAGAGAGGTTTGTTTCATACATCGCACTTTTTCCTCAATATTAGGCTTTTGTTACTAATCTTGATAAGGTGAAGGTACCTGAGACTATACAAGAGGCTCTAAGCATCCACGAATAACAAAGCGCTGTCATGGAAGAGATGAGGGCCTCAGAAAAGAATGAGACATGGAAACTTGTTTGGTTACCTAAAGGAAAGAAAATAGTGAGTTGTAAGTGGGTACTCATTCCAAAATAGAATATTGATGGTGCCCTTGACAAGTTGAAAGCACGCTTGGTCGTAAGGTGGTTTACTCGAATACATGGTCTAGACTATGAAAATTTTTTTGTTCCAATGGCAAATTGAACACTATTGGAGTCTTATTGTTTGTAGCAGCTAACCTACTTTAGTTATGTTTTAGAATGGTATCAGAGCTATGAAGCCGACTAAAATGGCTAGCTCTCCTGCAACCATAGTCTCCACCACTGGTACCCACTATTGATACCATTGCCACCACTGACTCTACCCTCCTCCTCCTCACCTAGCAATTTTCATCACTTTATCACTATCAAACTCACTGAGGATAACTATCTCATTTGGCGAGCTTAGATTATGCCCTACTCATACGGTCAACAACTATTTGGATATATTGATGGTTCCATATCTCCACCTCCAACAAAAACTCTTGCTGGCCTACCTAACTGCGATTATCTTCAGTGATTTCAACAAGACCAGTTAATTCTTTCTATCCTAATTGTTTCTTTAACTGAAAAATTGATTCCACAAGTTCTTCAACACATATCATCTTGCGCCCTCTAGTTAGCCCTTGACACTATTTTCTCAACGAACCCAAGCTTGTCTTGTCCATCTCCAACAAATCACCACTATCAAAAAAGGACGAGAATCAATTTTTGAATATCACTGTCGAGAAGCTATTCTTGCTGACTTGTGTGGTTCATTATCCCTTAAAATGGTGCATCCTGATTACATAGCTAGAACCCATGAATGGGGAATACACGAGAGTAGAAGACACCTTTACCCTTAAAAAAAATCAGATGATCCCTTTGCCTTCTCCATTGCCACCCCTCCTTCTGCAGCAACATCATTGGCCTTCAGCTTCTCCATCAACATTGGCCTTTACACCAGCACCACTAGTGTGAACTTTGCTGTCAGCCATTGCGCTCCTGCCTTCTGGAATGAAGTGGCGGATATGGATGTCATCACATCTCATAGAACTGGAAGTTTCCTTTTTCTTCACCACGCTGGCACCACCGAGAAGATCTCTTATCACCATTATTGTGCTCCTGGCTGGTGTGTAGTTTCACTTTTCCTTCAGATCTTGCCTTCTGGACATCAGTGCTCATTCATGGTCTTCGTGGCTGAGAGTGAAAGAAAGAGCAATGAAGCTTTGGAAATCCCCATCATGTTCAAAGAGAGGGAGAAAGAGACAAAAGGGAGGAGAAGTCGAGAAGAGGTGAATGAGGTGCAAGGATGGGTTTTTTTTAAGGGCTTTTCTGTCTTTGCTATTTTTACTTATATATAATTGAGTATAAAAAATAAATAAATTCATTTCCATTGTTCCCAATATCTAACCAAACAAATTCATGGTAATCGTGATTACATTACATATCATTACATCCCTTACGATTCCTTGAACCAAATATGCCATAAGTGTCACATTAAGAATATGGACTAATTTTTGGTAGTCTTGTGATGATTTCGGGCTTAAAGTTTTTCCTGAAGGTTTAATATGCAATGTGAATCCACATTTCTGAGAAAATGAGAATATATATGGATTGGTTCATATTTGTCTCCTGTTTTGCATCCATCACTGGATCTAACCTTCTAAAATTTTGGAATCTGTTGAATGATGTTTGAGCAAAATAAAATAAAGTGCTGCTTTGCTTTGATGACATTGTTTCCTTTTCTTAGACTTGCAGGACTATCCTAACCATAATAATACCACCAGCAACTGCCACAAAAATTTCAAGCTTGTTGCTTTGCAAGCCTCTTCATGGAGAGTGAAAGTCGTATCTACAAAGTAAAGCAGCAATTGGGTATTTACATACCAGGAAAAATAAAGCAGAGATTAAGCTGAACATGTCATGATATTTGCTTGACATTGGTTGAAAATTTAATTGAGGTAGACAGGTTCTGGGTATTCAATTCAGTCACTAATAATTTTAAAAATCACTGTCTCTGAGTCTAGACTCTATCTTTTCTCGTTAAGATGATTCTTTCATTTTAACATTTGGTGATAAATGGAAACCAATGAGCCATATAATTAGTTTTCAGGATTTTTTTTGGTTAACTCTTGCCTTTTTCCCTTAATATGTCTGACAAATCCTTTTTTTTTCCCCTGGTTTAGTTTCCAAGAATCTAAAATCTTTCACACATGCTTTTGTCGCTTTTAGACTCCTCCATTGCTTGAGAAACTCGACGAGTATTGAAGTTGTTTGTATAATACAAGTACATTGCTTTGTGCAAGACTAAATATTTGTCCTAAAAGACAAATACAAGCTATGTGACTTGGCTTCTCTTCTGAATCTGTCTGTGTATTCAGTGGCTGAGTTTATATTTCATTATTTTTTTAATGTAATCGAATATTTCAAGAAAATAGATTTATCTGTATCTGATCCATGATAGGATAATTTTATTATATTTCATAATGCACTAGACTTCTACTACTACCTTGTGCTAGAGGAGGAAAAAAGATAGGTAAGGACATAAATGAATTATTTCCATTACTAGTTTTTCATGCGATAAGATTGAATCTAAACCTATTTAAAATATTCGTACAACTTTTCTTTACTCCAGCTCAACCATGTTACGTCCCCAAAGAACCAAAATGTTCAAAAAGATTGCTTACAGACCAAAGGTCTAGAAGTGAACAGAATTTCAAGGTTAATTTTCTTAATTACTCTTACTAATTTGTTTCTTCAATGTTTTGGTTTTAAATTTTAGATTTTTAGTTGCAAATTCTTTTATTATTAGTTGAAAATTTGGGAACATCTGTGTCAAATCTTTGCAATATATGGGAAGTTATAGTGACCTTTTTTTCATGGTAATTAATGCCTAGCCTACACGCTCAAAATCAAGAGAAATATTAGGTTCTGACACTATGTACATTAAGAAAAGCCAATGATAGCGAAAAGCTAGTGATGGAGCTAAAACTCTGTATTAAGTTGTGAAATTTAATTTAAAAGAATTAATAATTTAAAAGTGATTTAATAATTAAAGGGTAAAGGTATACGTGTTTTTGAAGTATTCTTTGAAGAGCACGTAGTATTTTAAATTATTGATTGGATTAATTTTTTTTTTAAAGTAATTAAAATAAATATTTTTACCCTTGTCGTCAAATTTCTAACATTAATTGTTAGAAATGTTAACTGAGACTTCGAAAGGGTAAAAATGCTCTATTTAATTACTTTAAGGGCAAGATTGCTCTAATGAATAATATAGAGTGCCGGGTGCTTCTCAGGGAATACTGTAAGGATAAAAATACACTTTTACCCATAATCAAATAATAAATTACATATTTTGGGATCAGTGTTACAAGTATTGGGTCACATTGGTAGGTTTGATTGGTTGGACTAGGAGCTAGTTGCTTGTCCAATCTAGAATGACAAGAAAATTAGGGAAGAGAACAAGTTGTTACGGCCTTGAATCGGCCCAAAGCGATAGAAACAAGGAAGAAAGACAAAGAGGTCTCAAAATAATAAATTAATTTAGGTTATGTCCTAAGTGCTGAATTTTAGGAATTTACAACTCAATCTCTCAATTTTGCAACTTTGTTGTGATAAATTTACAATTTATATTTTAAATTTTAACAGGAAAATTAAACTTTTTTATGCTTCAACTATTTTAAAATTTAAAAATTAAGTTGTAAATTCATCATAATACAATTGTAAAATTGAGAAATTGAGTTGCAAATTTTTAGAGTTTGGCATTTGAGACCTAATTTAAATTAATTGGTTCTTTTAATATCTCATTGTCATTTTTTGTAGAAACAATTGATGAGTTGGTTGAACTGGTTGCAATTTTTATCCAAAATTTATTGGGAGAATGATAAAGAGGTCCCAAAAGGAACAATTAATTCAAGTTAAGTTTCGAGTGTCAAATTTTAGGAATTTACAACTCAATCTCTTAATTTTGCAATTTCGTTATGATAAATTTACAATATATATTTTAAATTTTAATAGGAAAAATAAACTTTTTTGTGCTTCAACTATGTTAAAATTTGGAAATCAAGTTGTAAATTCATCACAACGCAATTGTAAAATTAAGAGATTGAGTTGCAAATTTTTAGAGTTTGGCACTTGGGACTTAACTTGAATTAATTAATTCTTTTGAGACCTCTTTATCATTTTTCATAGAAACAATTGATGAGTTGGTTGAACCGGTTGCAATTTTTATCCAAAAATTTATTGGGAGAATGACAGAGATGTTCCAAAAGGACCAATTAATTAAGTTAGGTTTTGAGTGTTGAATTTTAGGAATTTATAACTCAATCTCTCAATTTTGCAACTCGTTGTGATAAATTTGCAATTTATATTTTAAATTTGAACAGGAAAAATAAACTTTTTTATGCTTCAACTATGTTAAAATTTAGAAATCAAGTTGTAAATTCATCACAATGCAAAATTAAAAAATTAAGTTATAAATTTTTAGAGTTTGGCAATTGAGGCCTAACTTGAATTAATTAGTTCTTTTAAGACCTCTTTATCATTCTTCGTAGAAACCATTGATGAGTTGGTTGAACTGGTTGCAATTTTTATCCAAAAGTTTATTGGGAGAATGACAGAAAGGTTCTAAAAGGATCAATTAATTCAAGTTAGGTTTGAATGTTGAATTTCAGGAATTTGCAACTCAATCTTTCAATTTTACAACTCCGTTGTGATAAATTTGCAATTTGTATTTTAAATTTTAACAGGAAAAATAAACTTTGTTACTTCAATTATGTTAAAATTTGAAAATTAAGTTGTAAATTTATCACAATGCAATTGTAAAATTCAATTGTAAAATTAAAAGATTGAGTTATAAATTTTTAAAATTTGGCACTTAGGACCTAACTTGAATTAATTAATTCTTTTGAGACCTTTTTATCATTCTCCATAGAAACAATTGATGAGTTGGTTGAACCAGTTGCAATTTTTATCCAAAAATTTATTGGGAGAATGACAGAGAGGTCCTAAAAAGATCAATTAATTTAAGTTAGGTTTTGAATGAAGAATTTCAAGAATTTGTAACTCAATTTCTTAATTTTGCAACTCCGTTGTGATAAATTTATAATTTGTATTTTAAATTTTAATAGAAAAAATAAAATTTTATGCTTCAATCATGTTAAAATTTAGAAAATAAGTTGCAAATTCATTACAACGCAATTGTAAAATTGAAGAGATTAATTGTAAATTTTTAGAGTTACTTGTGACCTAACTTAAATTAATTAGTCCTTTTAAAACCTCTTTGTGATTCTCCCAAATTTATTTCATGTTTTTAAGTTATAATTTATGTATATTTATACCATTAGGAAAAGAAGAATGATGAACAAATAAACTATAAAAATACATTTTTGATGGATGCTAGAAGTATCGATGGATATTCTTATTTTCTATTATACTACTTTTATTTGAATTTAATATTTACTTTTATGAGTATTGATGGTCATAAAAAATTTCTCAATCATAATTATTAATTTTATTTTATTAAATAAATTTATTTTAATTATAATTTCAATGAAGAGTAAATTGGCCCAATAGCCATAAAAAATACAATTCTCATAAACTATGAATGTGATTTTTTAGTATTTTAAAATATGGCTCATTCACAAAATCAATTAGAGGTAATTTTTTTTATCCATAGAACAAATATATTATTAAAACGTTTTGCATAAATTGATCCACTAATATATATCTTATAATTAACTAAATTATTCTAATCTTTAACTAATTAAATCAAATCCTCGCACACATGCACAATCGTTCCTTTTCTTTCTTGATGGGCGGATGAATTAAGGTGATATACACATGTTGCTTTCATGTTCTTCTAACAATTGCACTCTTCTGCAAGACATGTTCTAACATGAGTAGTTCAATTTTATGTCCTTTGGAAACAAGTATCATTACTAGGCTTCCTTGCACGTAGATGAATGTAAGCCTGGAACATTCATTGCAACAGGAACTCTATCATCAGATTCTGCATTTTGCATTGTGTAGTTCAAGCTTTAGATTGAAGTTGTCATGAATTTTGTTTTGTGGAAATTGAAAAGCATTATCTATCATTGAATTTTTATCATCTTCATATTTCTCAACAATATCTTCACTGAATCAATAAATTATTTATTCATAATTTATTATTTATTGTCATTGATTATGAAACTTTTTTGAATTATCACCACAAAGAAAAATTATTCTCTCATTGTTGATGATTTTTTTTTATTTTATCAATTTAGGTATTTGATTCTCTATAATAAGCTAAGATGTTCAAAAATTTTTACATATTGTGTTTGATTTGTGTTGAAAAAATGATTATTATTATTTTTTTGTTTCTGATCTGCGATAATATATCAATAATATATAATTGTATATAACTGATAAACCATATTAGTAAAAACTTATAAACATTATTAATCTTATAGATATATGGATGCTTAATCTTGTCATTTCTTATGATGTAAAATGGATTTATTAATTTAGGTATTTGATTTTTGTGATAAGTAAATATGTCCATAATTTTTTACATACTGTGTTTGATTTGTTTTAGGCAAATGATTATATTTTTTTTTCATATTTTTGATTCTTGTAGATAAATCATATCAGTAAAAACTTATCAACATTATTTAATCTTATAAATATGAGAATGGTTAATCTCGTTATTTTTTCGAAGGAGGGTAAATGAAGTTGTTATGTCTTCGGATATTTAAAAAAAGGTTTTCGTTCAAAAAATAAAGTATTTGAAAGAATGTCATTATTTGCAAGCGGATAGTTTTATCATATAAAACTCAACTAAATATAAAAATGATCATAATATAAAATATAACAGATGTTAGGCTATTTTTTGAGTTTAGTTTTACAAAATGCGAGCCTCTTTAATGAATGATCATGATTGAAAAAATGAAGAAAAAATGAGAAAAAATAAGTGGAAAGACCCCTCTCCCCTGATGGGTTCACTAATAGATGCAACATTAATTGAGATGTTCATCGAACATAACACCAAATGATAGTTTAAAATAGAAAAATAGAAGAAAACAAAGAAAGAATGGAAGCAGCAAGAGTGGTTTCTTAGGGCACAGATTTTTGGAGGATTTGGAGTGAGTTGGTAGTTTCTAACTACTTTGATAAGTAATCTAACTAGATCTTCCACGCTTTTGGGGGTTTTTGAGGAATACAAACTTAGGGTTAGGGTGGATTTCGTGTTTGGGAGATTTTCTACCGGTTAAGATGTGATATAATGGATTAGATGAGTTTATCTAAGGTTGTATTGAGGTTTAATCAGTATAGATTTGCTTAAGCTCATGAATTTGAGGATAGGGTTTGAAGGGTTTAAGTGGTTAATGATATTTTCACCAATTAAAATGTGGTTTGATTGTTTAGTCATGTTTATTGAGGCTGAATAGAGATTTAATTGGTTTAGTTTATTGATTGATGGTAGATTTTGAAATGGGTGTTTTGGAGGATGAACACTTAGTAGAGAATTCGTGAATTTTGATGAATTGAAGGAATATGATTGTAATTATTGTTGGAAGAATGACAATTAAGCCTCTAGACTGAGAAGTTTTTTTATAATTAATTTCCCAACAATTTTTTTTAAAAATAAGTTTGTAAATATTAATTTTTTTCTGGCCAAACCACAAGTCAATTTTTATTAATTAACAAAAAATAATGCACATACTAATTGTCAAAGCCACGAAAGAGAAAAGAACACTCAAAAATCTATACATCAAGAACTAAACATACCGGAACAAAAAAGAAAAAAATAAAACAATCAAACCAGTCAAGACGAACAACAATAAAAACAATAGGAAAAAAAAAAATAGAACAGTACAAAAACAACACTAAAAAGAAATAGTCATCAACTATGCAGCAACAACATTTTAACAACTCTATACCTCTCTGTCTCCAACCTTCCTTCCTTTAACAAAAAGAAGAAAAAAAAACCTCAAATCATTGGTTAAAATATTAACCAAAGGGGGTGTTAGTGACAAAACCCATCCAAAAGGACACAACACCTTTCTACAAACACATCTATCTATTCAATTAGCTGCTTTATTACCCTTTCTAGATGAAAGAGTAATAACTAAATCAGAACACTTAGCGAAAGCATCTAAAACTTCCTTCATCTCCCACCTGCCCCTCCAGTCTGCCCTTGTTGAATTCTTCTTGTAGCACCAGTGAAGATCTGCACAATCGATCTCTATATCAGCATCTTTCACATTTTGCTCATGTAGGATTACAATAGCTTTTTTTAATCTAACTAGTCTTAAATATTAATCTAACTAGTTGCAAATAGAAATCCCAACTGTGAATTAAGAGTTATATTTATAATTTAAATTTTTTATTTACAATTAAAACCTCTAAATTTATGATTATATGAATTAATATTTACAAATGATTTTTTTTAAAAAAAATTATTTGACAACTAATTGTCATAAATTCATTGTTTTGGGAGATTAATATCATTCCCCTATTATTGATTTCAATGGACTAGTTGGGTTAGGAGTGGATGGAAATTGATTAGAGTTGGGACCTAATGCCATTAGTAGTGGGTTTTGGGAATTTTGGGTTAACTTAACTAATTATGCATTGAATTAAGACTTGGACAATGAAGGGACAGACCCACCGCCATATCATAAATGGCTTAAAAGACCGAAAAAATTAAGAGGAGGAACGGATGAGACATCACATCCTAATAAGTTAAGATAGACAATTACCCTGCTGTTATTGCTGAGATTTATGGGATTATCAAAGCACTCGAATTATGCTTTCACTTGGGATATAAAAATTTGGATATCTTCACTCACTGTGCAACATCAATAAATCTGATAGCCCAAGATCAGATTGAGGACGACCGTTACTAGGATATATAATTCAAAGAAGTCGTGATTTAATTTTCTTTGCTTGTAATGCTTCTATTAATTTTGTTCACCATCATTTTAATTGTACTACTGATAATTTAGGTAGATACAGCTTTAGAATCACTCAAGATTTCTGCATCTTTGATCAACTCTTATCTTTTATTATTGAAAGCGATGATTGATGAAAGTTTTTTTCTTTGTTTTCTTGTAGTCTTGCATTGGGTTTTGTACTGTTGTAAGTTCTTTTGAACATCAGTTTTCAATTTCTACTTAAAAGGAAAAAAAAAAAACGACAAACACAAGTCTTCTTTTTGGCGCATGCAAAAAGTATGGTCATAATAAAAGAACGTGCAATGCTAAAAAGCAGTTCACAACAACAATCTACTATGTCACACTCTCCGTCACAAGGATAGATACTGAAATGCATTGTTTAGAATGTTATTATGTCTTTTTTGAATGACCTAAGTTTCTTGATTCCATCCTGTGTCTTTTTTGGATGTTCAAAGACTTCAATCTATTCTTATTTTTCACAAGTCCGTTTGTATGTTCTATGTTTCTTCACAAATGAAACCAAGTCCAGTAATCAGGTAATGAAGAATATTTAGAAATGTTCAATGTGGCTTCACATATTATTTCCTTGAAAATTATTGTGCAGCCCTTATAATGATAGAATAATTAATTATATTTATTAGTAAGCATCCAATCATAGAACTGATAGAAGAAATAAAGAAACTTGTACTCATTTAGAATAATTAATTTTTAACATTTTTGAACATCGAGTGTCAGACTTGATTTCCCTTCACTGCAAATATGAACAACTTGGATTAAATATTAATGATATAGATTAATCTCTACTTTTAAAAATTATCAAATCTAAATCATCAAATTCAATTTAATGATTCAGATTTACAGTGTTTCCTTCACTGCAATGAAGGAAAGTCAACTCCTAGAATATCATACATACAACTCGTCCAGCTTATGTTGAGGAAAGAAAAGCTTTGATTTCAAATTTAAAATTGACATTTAAGACGTGCAACTCCTAAAGTTCCATCAAAGTCAAAAACCACAATTAGAAAAATAACAATAATAATAAGATTAGCTTTTGATTCCATTGAAATTACAAATTGTAATAAAAAAAGCGTACAATGAACATGCCTTCCTACCTCAACTACCAATTACAAATCCACATACCTTGGCTAGCTACCTCCACAATTAAATGTAAAATACAAATAGTACAAATACTTGCTATAATATTAAACCAACTAAGTACTTCCTACTAATTGCCTAGAAGTTTAGAAGTTTAGAATCCACAAGACAAATACAACATCACAACATTGCCTATAACCCACCAATAGAACATGGTGAATCTTCATTCTTTCCTCCTCTTAGGCCTTCTATTATCTTCTTTTTCTTCAAGCACCTTATTGGCAATTCTGAACATGAACCGCATGCAAAAGTTATAAAATATATAATAAAAATCCAGTAGCAATGCACAATACCCTGCAGATTGGAGAGAAATCAGGAAGGAAAAGGACCAAAGTTGGATAGATTTAGGTTTCAAATAAAAATCTTCTAGAGAACACAAGCTTGTCTCACTCTTTCTTTTACATATATATCTAATTTACCTCTCAATAAATTGGAAGGGAACCAGCAATGATTTAGCATTGAAAGAAGATAAGGACTAATTAATTAATTTTTCCAAAACAAAGTTTCAGAGTTAAGGTAGCTGCTGTGCTGCTCATGAAACTGACCTACCACACAAATGACTTTCGAATGATCGAAAAGATGTTTCTTGAATAGTCTGAGTTTGAAAGCATATTGCAACTGGCATATTTGACCTCAGAATTTTGTTTCCTGCCACTTTGGCACCTCTAAGTCAAAGGTCTTAACATCTTTCCTTTTGCAACCAAAAGTCTAGAATGCAATGATAACATGCTTGATACCGTGTCTTTGTACCATGTTATCAGGCAGAACAATCACGTTGTCAGAGGAGCAGCCCTTTGAGAACCACACCTAAATTTTATGTCTCAGCTGGCTCGATGCACTTCATGAACTTGGACTGGCCGTACAAACATGGCCATTTTCTGTGACAGGTTCTGAAGAGCCTCATGCCTATTTGCTAGCTCCATTAGAACCTTGATTCTCTTGAAAGAAACATTGCTTGGCTTCTGACCTCTCTCAATCATCTCCAAGAAACATTTCTCCGCTTCCACTAACTTTCCCATGTCACAGAGCAAGTCAAATAGTACATCAGAGACCAGAATATAGGACCCAAAACCCTTCTCCACCATGTCGCTCCATAGCTGCAGCGCCATCTCAACCTTTTCCTGCCTCTTAAATAATCTTATTAGGAACATGCAAGATTGTGTGTTTGGCAAGCATCCAGTACCAATCATCTTTCTGTACAAATTCCAGGAACTCTGCAAATCATTTGACCAGTAAAAAATCCTAAAGAATAAATTATAAGTAGTTGCATTTGGACTTAGACCTTCATTGACCATCTCATCCATCAAGCTATAAGCATCACGAAGCCTCTTCGCAATGCAGAAATTCCTTATGGGCATTGTATGCTGCAACATCAGGATAACACCCATACTCCTTCATGTCTTTCAAAACATCTCTGGCTTAAGCCCAATCCACCAATGATAGAGGTATAAGTGATTACATCAGGTACCATATCCTCATTTCGCATTTCATCAACTACCTTATAGGCCTTCTCCATTTCCTTCCCTTTGCAGTAGACATCAATCAAACAATTATACGATACAACATCAGGTTTCACCCCCATTGCTCTCATTTCCTTGAAGAATCCCTCAGCTTCCTCAGTGGATTTCCACCCTGACAAGAGAATATTAAAAGTTTGCAAGTTTGGCCGAAAACTATGCTTTAAACTATGATAAACATTTCTCGCATCCGTCATACTCTTCTCTTGGCACAAGGTTCTCAACAAAGCATTGAAACAGGTCGTATTGAATTCTGGAACAAGCTTTTTAAACCTCCTAAAAGACTCCACTGTCTCCCTCACGGAACACACTTTAGCTACTCTAGCTAAGACAACCATAAGGGTGCGAGGGGTTATTATGGATTGATCTTTCCGTCGTATTTCAAGCAAGAGGTCCCAAATATGGCCAAACATACGACTTCGTCCTAAAATATAAAGCATAGTATCCAGGGAGAAGGAAGAGTGAAAAAACCCTCGTCTTTTGCCAGTGTAAAAGAAAAATTCCAAAGCTTGCAAGGGGCTGGAATGACTAAATCTAACCCTTTTCAAACTGCATCAACTAAGTCGTTGGAGAGGAAAACTCCAGTTGATTTCAAAGATTGCTTGAGGACTTCGGGAGATGAAGAGGAAGAGATGATGCGGAATACTGTTTCAACGTCGTCACGCAAATTGGGATTTGCGGAGCAAAAGCAAGCAGATTGGACTGAGACACAAAGATAGTACCTGGATGGCGAAGCAAATGAGAGAGGCCTCAGCAACATCCGTGAGGCTAAGATTGGTACTCTTCTCTTGGCACAAGGTTCTCAACAAAGCATTAACAGGTCGTATTGAATTCTGGAACAAGCTTTTTACAAACCTCCTAAAAGACTCCACTGTCTCCCCTCACGGACACACACTTTAGCTACTCTAGCTAAGACAACCATAAGGGTGCGAGGGGTTATTATGGATGATCTTTCCGTCGTATTTCAAGCAAGAGGTCCCAAATATGGCCAAACATACGACTTCGTCCTAAAAATATAAAGCATAGTATCCAGGGGAGAAGGAAGAGTGAAAAAACCCTCGTCTTTTGCCAGTGTAAAAGAAAAATTCCAAAGCTTGCAAGGGGCTGGAATGACTAAATCTAACCCTTTTCAAAACTGCATCAACTAAGTCGTTGGAGAGGAAAACTCCAGTTGATTTCAAAGATTGCTTGAGGACTTCGGGAGATGAAGAGGAAGAGATGATGCGGAATACTGTTTCAACGTCGTCACGCAAATTGGGATTTGCGGAGCAAAAGCAAGCAGATTGGACTGAGACACAAAGATAGTACCTGGATGGCGAAGCAAATGAGAGAGGCCTCAGCAACATCCGTGAGGCTAAGATTGGTTCAATTAGAAGTCATTCCAAGGTAACTCTGACAACGACCTTCCGCCGGCTAAGCTACTAACCGGTGGCTCCCGTAATCCCGTTGATTCTCCCAGCAGCTTTGCACTCAGGGCCTCTTCTTTTACCTTCTAGCCAACGATATTTCACATAAGCCCCTGCGCATTAAATAATATACTTAATCAGCTTAATATCATTCATTTATTTAATTTAATAGAAGATTAATTATAATATTAAAATAAATATATTATTCATTTATTAATTATCATATTTTAAAAGTATTTAAGCAAAGATAATGAATAATTAGTCTTTCACAAGTTTTGTCGAAACTAAAAAAAAAAAAACTTTAAAACTTATTAATCCTGTGCGATTTGGTTCGATTCTGCCATCAATCTTCCTCAACTTAAAATATCAGAAGAGGAAGCTTATGTATCCTCATAGTGAATTCTCTTTCCCCAAAGTAAAAGAAGCAAGAGTTGATTAATTTGAAACCAAACAGGAAAATAACATCGGGGAACAAACAGAAAAGAAGAGAGAACCCTGCATTCCGGTTAAGGTCTGTTGAGCTTGAAATTTAAGGAGTCGTCACCGTGACCTCTTCCTTAAGATTACGAGATCAGACTGAAAGAAGACAGATTTGCATACCAACTAATGAAGAAAATGATGGTTTTAAGCAAATCAGAATAAGGAGAAGGCATTCACAATACTGGAATTCGATCATTGACAGGGAAAATAAAAATCAAAGCTAACAAGAATAGTAGAAGGCATTAGCAGAAGTAAAAATTAGAAGCTACAATTCAAGCAGAAAGTATTCACAACACTAGATTCAGTTATTTTCAGATTTCAGAACAAAATCAAACAAGAAAAATGCAAATACGAACAGCAAAAGTGCAAGGAACAACAGCAATGAAGGATGAACAACAAACACTAACAGCAGCAATGAAGGACGAACAGCCACGCGAACTCAGTTTCAAAGACCAAGACGAGAAGCGGTGAAAGGAAGGAGGCACCAACGCGCCGTACTCTGCTCTCTTAGCCTCTCAGTTTCGAAGAGATGAATATGGGAAGCGCCGGAGCGGTCAGAAGAAGGCACAGGGTGCTCGCCAGCCCCGGGCACATCTAGGATATTGAATTCATTTTTAATTAATCTGTACACTTTATTTTAAAATTATTTTTTTAATATTTTTAATATTATATTATTAAAATAAAAATTAATAAAAAATAATGAAATTGGAACATTAAATCTATGTGCAAAGTATAACTAAATAATTAATTTATAAAAATTATAAAAAAATTAATATTAAATTAAATCTCCTCAATTATATCTGTACTATTCAATATATATTTGGATAGTCAACTTATAAAATTATAAATAATTTTAATGTTAAATTAGTTAGAGAAAATTAGCTCAATAAAATTAAAAAATACAACTCTCATAAATTATGTATGAAGTTTTTGAATATTTTAGGATATGGTTCATTCATAAAATTAATTAGATGTGCTTTTCCTTTTTTATCCTCAAAATAAATTTATTATTAAAACAGAATATATTGATTTGATAATCTTTAACTGACTAGATCTTTCATTTTTATTATCAAAAATCGTATTGTGCGTGCTTCATTTCTGATTTATCATCTTTAAATATTTTCTTTATCATATTTTTTGATTTAATTTTTCTGGATCATCATATTCATTTCATACGGTGCTTTTCTTTATCAAATTTTTGATATGATTTGCCTGAATCACTATTTTCATCATAGAGTTTTCCTCTCTCTTCTCTTTGTTTTTCTCAAATATTACAAAGAGGACAATAGACATTAAAGAAAAAACTTTATTATTGATTTGTGATACTATATCATTGATATATAATTGTATATCAATAATAGACAAATGGATAAGTTTTCACTAATATAACTTATATATCAGTGATATATGATAGTACATCACTGATATACTATCATAGATTAATATAATCAGACAATTAAATATAAACTTATTTTAATTGATATACAGTCATATATTAATGATGTAGTATTGCATATCAGTAACACAAAAAATACATAATCATTTACTCAAAATAGATCAAACATGGTCAAAAAAATTTTGAACTTTTAACTTATTATAGAGAATCAAATTCCTCAACTAATAAAATAAAAAATCATGAATCTATAACTCTATTTTCCCACTGGTGTGCTCCGTTCGTCGATGAATCTCACATTGAGTTTGTCTCTCGCCGTTGTAACTGTGGCTCATTCACACTGCTCTGTTGTCTCGCATTCATCTCTCTTATTTTGAGTTCCTTCTTCTCTCTCATTCTAGAGATTTCTTGCGTTTTAAATCTCCTGGTATTTAAAAAAAATATTAAAAAGGCTAATTTTATAAATTAATTATAATTTAAATATTAAAAAAGTTATTTTTAAAAATTAAAAAATGATAGGTTTTTTTTTTACTTGGTCTTATAATATAGGCTATTAATGTAAAAGCCCCAATTAATTATTGATAACATGAAAGTTATCCTTGGTGAGCAAAAAAACAATCTAAATTTAATATTAAAATTTTTATTTTAATAATATAATATTAAATATATAAAAAATAAATTTAAAATAAACGGTAAAGATTAATTCAATTTAAAATTAAGTGCTGAGCCTTGCAGCTTATCAGCACCCCATAATGCGAACGGAGGGGGGAAGCGCCTGCTTCATTACGATTAAGGTAGGAATAAGATAAAAAAAAAATAAACAAATTAATTAGAGATAGTATATATATATTAATTAAATAGATGATTTAAATTAGAAAATAAATATAAAAAAATAAATTAATATTTTTATATATATTCGTAGGAATAATAAGTATGGTTATTGATATATGAATAGATAATTAATATTATAAATAGTATAGTTTTAAAATTATGTAACGCAAAGAATATATAGTGAAACAAAATAAGGGAAATTATAATTTGGAAAATTTTTTGAACAGTAGGAGTTTAAAAAATGCAAGCTCTTTCTAGGCAAAATTAAAAAAAAAGAACATATATACAAAATTCCTATAAAAAGTATAAAAATATAAGATTTTTTTTTATTTTTCAAAATAGTTCTTTGAATGATTTCATGTATTTATAACAGTAAAGAAGATACTCCCTTGAAGGTGGCAGAAGGGCATAAATGTTTCAAAGAAAAAATAAAATGAAAAGCTATTTTATTTCTTTTACCATATGAGAGTATCATGGGTTATGAATTGGTGCTTCTTAATAATAATTAAAAAACCACATGCCCTATAGTCAATTATTTAGTTTAAAGATTTAGAGTAAAATGGTGGGACAAATACAATCAAGACTTTGCCAACACAAAAGTAGTTATTAGATGGATTAAAACCACTATTAAAGCTATCCCATAGCAAATTAAAGAACAAGTTGCATTTCTAATTGAAAAGATTAAATTGATGACTCAGTTGGTAGTTGTCAAGACAAAAGAGGAATGAGCCTTAATGTGTGTTTATTTCAGTTTGTCAAAAGTTAATTTGATCAAAATTTATTTGACAAAAGTCAATTTAATAAAAATCAGTTGTTATAATAGAATTTGTGTTTAGATATATTTTTTTAAAAGTTAGTTTGACAAACTGAAGTTGTTTAAATTAATAAAAATTTGTGCTTTTGAAATATACTTTTGAACATGCAATGAACAAAAAGGATATTGATTTATGATAATTTATAATTCTCGAGCATCCTAGGTTGCACCAGACGTGGGGTCCTCAACTCAAAAAGTAAAAGATGATGACATTTTTGAAGCTAATTATGAAGAGTTTCATTGGTCGTTTAAACAAGTGCTAGTAGATATTTCAAAGAAAAAGAAGGAAATGATGCCTAACAAAAATAAAAAGAAATGAAGTGACAAAAGAAAAAGAAAATGTGGCCGATAAAGTAGCAAGAAAGTCATAAAAAAAGTAATAGAAGAAAAGAGACAAAAAAAGAAAAACAAGTTATAAAAAAAATGTGACCGATGAAGTAACAAGAAAGTCAAAAGAAAAAATATCAAGTTCAAAAAACAAATTAATCAAAGTGAGTTAATCTAAATTAAATCACTGTTATTCAAAAGTCTATAAATAAAGAAGATTTCTCCATTTACATACATCATTTTAGAGACTCTCCTTCTCAATTTGTAAAACTCATCTTTTCATCTCTTAACCATCCACTTGTAATTTTCTTTTCTTCTCTCATATCTCCCTTTACCCTCTTTATAAGTATTTTGTACATTCCTTTTAAATAATAAGGTCATATGTATCGTTGTTTTAAACTTTTTGTACTCTACTTGATCCACTTTCCTTAATGGTTTATATACAAATAGGTCAGGTTTGCAAACCACACTTAAACAAATAAATCTGGGCCTTTTTAAGTTTAGATAAAATGCTCCTAACAATGTCTAAAAACATGTAAACATGTCAGCTGCTTCAAACAGCCAAACCCCAACCATGTCAATCATCCAAAGGCTGACAAAAGAAATCTGAAATGTTCCCATCCCCGCTAGCACAGGCAATTTAGGACCAAAATTATTAGTGTATAATACAAATAGAAAAAAATCAGATCCTAATGGTGTTCATCCCCACTTTTTTTTTTTTTTTTAAGTATTCACAAGTATTCTTTTATGAGAGATAATTTTATTTAAGATATGATTAAACATTAAATGTGAACATTTCTTTTAATAGAAGTTCAAATATGGTTCATTATATTATGAGAAATTATTCCCACTTGACCCAACCTATTGGTGGTATTCATTTGCACTTTTTTATTGGCACAAGGCATCCTCACAACTAACATCCATGAGACTAATCTTTTAAGGAATTTGAATATCATTTAAGGAGTCATCTTCTCTTAAGTAATTTTTTAATACACACTTTCAAAAATTGAATCTTGAAATAACACTTAAAGGGCCCAAACTGTTATCACTGTCACTCTCTCGTGAACATTTGCACTTTATTTGCAGCAACGTTCATATTTTATGAAAAAGGGGATGTGTTTCATGAGTAACTAACCTCCCTTGTGGGTTGTGGCTTTCACGTCTCACTAGAGACTAGAATGTTAAGCGTGGTCCCAAGTAGATGAATGCCAAACGGTGAGCACCGCAGAATAAAACAGAGACAAAGATAACAAAGGAAGACAGCGAAATACAACAACTTGATTCTTTAACAAGGGGATAATGGCCTATCAGTGATTCTTCGACATAATTTGAATTTTTTTTGGTCCTTTCAAACCTGTATAATTTTCCAATAATGTTCCTAGGAATTCTTAAAGAGTGTAACTTTTAATTCTTGAAAACATGTTATTCTAGAGCTGAACGTTTATCAAGTAAATAATCCACTCTTAAATATTGGGTTTGAATATACAAATAACAAGATTCATCACTCAAATTTTTGACTAGTTCTTTTAAAAAATAAAACAGTGCTCTAAAATATATACAACAAGACTTCAATTTTAGAGCCCGTTTGGTTACCTCTTTTTAAACAATTTTTTGTTTTGAAAAACAAAAAGAAAGAGGAAAAAAATTGTTTAAAATGTATTTTCTGTCATCAATTCCAAAGAACAAAAAGTTAAAAGTTATTATGAAAGACTAAAAAACTAGAATATCTTTTAAATGTTTTATTATTTTTTGTTCCACAAAACTAGAGAGAAGACAGAAAATATCATAATTTTATTAATAACAACTATATTATTAAAATATATTATTCATTCATCTTTTTTTTTTCACCCATTTAGATATGTTTTTCAACATAATAATTTATACAGATTTTTTTTTAAAACTTTTGTTTCCAAAGCTTATTTTGAAAAACTATTCTACAAAAGTATTTTGAGAATATAAAAATAAGGCTAAAGTATAAATTTGTCTCGAAAACCTTTAAAAGGCACAATTGGTATTCTCATGTTTTTGACGACGTAATATCGTCTCCACATTTTTTTAAATCGAACAAGTTTATCATGAATTAATAAAATAACCTAACAGTGTTAATCTTGTGAGATGGATCCATACAATGTTGCAACATGCTCGAGAGACTTTTTGACTATTGCCAAAGCAAGCTAGTTTTTCCTCATCTTCTCCCGTGCCCTTTCATCTTCCTCCTCACCTCTCCATTGTTATCTTCATCTTCCTCCATCATCAACGACGACTTGCCTGGGCTTCTTCTTCCCCTTTTTGCTTGAATTTTGGGGGGGGGGGGAGAGATTTCCAATCCCAATACATATATATATGCGTACAAGCCAGAAACTAGGGCTGTGCAAAAGTCTCCCAGTCCTGTCTGGTCCAGTCCAACCCGAGATGGTCTCAGTCTTGTTCGGTCTGTATAGTCACTGGTCCTTCAGGACCAAAAGGACTAAAAAGACCAGACTATTTTTCGGGTTGGACTGGACAAGAGACCAGGCATCCGGACCACTTGGTCCAGTCCAGTCCTATTAATTTTTTTTATTATAATTATAATTAATTTATTTTTGACAAATGTTTAAAGTGTAATTGATGCTAAGGAGATGATTGCATAAAGATTTATTAAGTTTGTTTCTAAATTGTTATTGTAATATAGTGTTGTTGAATTTTTTGAGTACTGTTTTTATTAAAGTTTATAAATTTAAATAATTTAGACTATAACAAAAATATTTTTTTTCTTATTATTAGAAATTATTATGGATTTATTATTATTATAAGTATTTTTACTATCTTAATTGAGTTTATTATGTTGGAATGGATTATTGCCTCTCATAGAATAAAAAGAGGAAAAAAAAGCTAAGTGAGTACTGGACTGACAGGACCAGTCTCCCAGTCCTATGGACCAAGTCCGGTCCTGTTAATCTTCGGGTTATCACTGGACAAGACTGGACTACGGGTTGCCTAACCCAGTCTTTTTCATGAAAGAGACCGGACTTCGGGTTAGGGTGAAGTCCAGTGCCGTCCAGTCCTTTGTGCAGCCCTACCAGAAACTCTGGTATGCAATATATGCATACAGGCTAGAAATACGCCTCAATCTCCTCCATAAATAAGGATAAATAATTAAAAATATATGTACACAAACAAACCCAGAAAACAAGTGCAAAATTCCCATTTTCATTATTAACCACTAAATACTCCACATTTACTAAAATGCAAATTCCTCCAAAATCAACCACATAGTCATGAGAACTCAAATAGATACATCATACATCAATGACCTGTTCAAGAGGTTCAGAAAGTGGGCATAATGGGTGAACATGATGGCGGATGGGGACATAGAAGAATGAAAGGTGATTTGAATCCAGATGAGTTCATTCTAGATTGTTGAATGGAGAGAAACACGACGCACAACAGACGAAGTCGTTTAAATATATGAATAAAAAAAAACGTGAGGTCAAAGCAAAGATGAGAAGGTTGTGAGAGAATTGAATATGGTTGAGCGGGTGAGAAGCTAATCCGTAATTGAATTCACTTCACTTTGAGAAAGCATGGATGAGGACGAGCTTAGTAAAGAGGCTCGTCGGCCATAGAAGATGAGCTTAGTGAAGAGCCAATCATAGTGGAGATAGAGTGACCAATAAGTGCAGTGTTGAACGTAAAGGGTGGGTGTTGAGAATGTTAAGCAAGTCCTAGCTGCAATAGTTGAGAGTAGCATAGCGATGAAAATCAAAAGAATCATAAATCGGGATTAAGACGAAGAAGTGTGTGATGAGGATAAAGATGAGCAAGATTGGGGAAGATGAAGAAGATGTAGTAGTTGAGAGTAGTATAGCGATGGAAATCAAAGGAACCACGAATTGAGATTAAGATGAAGAAGTGTGTGATGAGAATAAAGGTGAGCAAGATTGGGAAAGATGAAAAAGAAGATGCAAAAGTTGAGAGCAGTATAGCAATGAAAATCAAAGGAATCACGAATCGGGATTAAGACGAAGAAGCGTGTGATGAGAATAAAGGTGAGCAAGATTGGGGATGAAGAAGAAGATATAGTAGTTGAGAGTAATATAGCAATGAAAATCAAAGGAATCATGAATCGAGATTAAAACGAAGAAGTGATGCGTGATAAGGATAAAGGCGAGCAAGATTGGGAAAGATGAAGATGAGCTAACAAAAAGCAATGGTCAAAACATGTGGCAACAATTTATGGATCACATCTTTCAAGATTAACACCATTAGAAAACTGTGTTAGTACGAGAAAAATTGTTTGATTTTAAAAAGCATGAGAGCAACATCACGGCTTTTAAAACGGAAGGATATCAATTGTGCTATCCTGAAAACTTCAGATTTATACTTCGGCTCTAAAAATAAAAAACAAAACCAAACAATCCTTTAGATACTGGTGCTTTACACCAACTTGGAAATAAGCTGTCGTAGACATGAATGCAAATAAAACAAGTGCCATCTAAAAATCAAGTCGCCCAGCTTTAGTTGACCCAGAACAACCACTAGACGTGCCATACGAATTCCCAGATGAGCCATCAACAGGAGCTTGATTTAGACATTCTAAAACCAAAAACCTTCGTTTTTGCAACTTTATTGAGAATGTGGTGGCTTCAAGAATCAGAGGAACCTGAGATTTGAAATTAAGAGTAAATTAAGCTTGTTCAGATAGAATGCCTTGAAAACAGAGAAAAAGAGAAATCTCAATCACAGGCTTTGGGAATTACTCCCAGATTCAAAATATATGCAGCTTTCAACAATAATCTGCATGTCAATAAAATCTCTATTCTAATAAAAATATATATTATTTTTCACTTTTACCCTTAGTCCTAATTATCAGTGATGAGTGAAAAAAAAAAATCATAAATTCACATAAGAATCTAGGTTAATAAATATAATAGGTAAAATGGGAAAAAAAATAATTCTACAACTACTAAGTTGCTTGTGTTTTAGACCAATAATAACTAGAATAAAAGGATTATATTTTGGACCTGAAGAAGCATTAACTAAAATTAACTGCAAGAAGTCGCATGATCTTTAACTAAAATTTTCTTCTCAATCTACCTGTCGCTTGCAGTCAATTTTAACTGGAGATCATTTCAGTTCAGGTTAAAATTCTGAGGTATTGTTGTTACATTTCAAATAATCTGCATAACAATAAAATCTCTATTCTAATAAAAAATATATATTATTTTTCTTTTTTACCCTTAGTCCTAAATACTAGTGATGAGTGAAAAAAAAAATCGTAAATTCACACAAGAATCTAAATTAATAAATACAATAGGTAAAATGGAGGAAAAAAATTCTACAACTGCTAAGTTGCGTATGTTTAAGACCAATAATAACTAGAAGAAAAGGATTATATTTTAGACCGGAAGAAGTATTAACTAAAATTAACTGCAAGTCGCATGGTCTTTAACTAAAATTTTCTTCTCAATATAGCAGTCGCTTGCAGTCAATTTTAACTGGAGATCATGTCAGTTTAGGTTAAACTTCTGAGGTATTGTTGTTAAATTTCAAAGTTCATGTATCCGTTTTTTAATTAGACCGTAGTTCATTTCAAAAATGCATAATTTCTATCATCTTTGCAGAGTGGAAATGCAGATCCAAAAATAATCACTTGTCCATTATCAAAAATAAGAACTAATAATGGAATAAATTAGGCAGGGCACAACTGTATAAACTTAAGAAGCAGATGTGACGAAGCACAAGAGTGTGCCATAGGCAAACACATAAAAAGAGTAAACAAACTAAACGTACAGACGCACTCTAGATACATCAAAAATTAGGATTAAATAGATTGACCTGTGTATTAATGCGCGCCACTTTGTGTATATTTAAGAGCCCAACCATGTCCTGGTAACCAGTAAGGAGTTTTGCCATTTCCTTGTCCTCATCTAAAACAATATAACAACGCCTTTAAGGCAAACTTTTATAGGGATGGGCTATTCATGACATATTATCATGCGTGAATCATGAGAATGATCCGACGGCTGTAAATTTCAAACACTCTATAGCACAACCTTATAATAAAACAACACAAAATTAAAGATCATCACTGAATAAGAACCTGGAATTGCCCTAACAGATAACAAAGTGTCTGCCATATGTTGCAATCTTTTTGAGCAAGATGGAGAAAGAAGTGAAGGTGGAAAAGTTACAACAACAACAGCATTTGAAGACCTGGTCAAGCCTTTCAGAGACCTAATAAAGGAAAGCATCTGCCACTCCTGTGGTAATAATTGTTACATTGGCAATGAAAAATATAAAAGCATAAAAAATTAGGTAATAAGACAAAAGTGAAAATCATTTAAACCTTAAAGAGATAATGACATAGATACTCACCATGTTTGAATATTTACATTGTGGAGAACAGAATGATTGAATGGCAATCCGACCAGCTGGACAAATGCTGCTTTCATGTCTGATTATGTCACTATATAATGTCAGAAAATTCAAAATAGACAAAGAGTTCATCAAGAATGATTAATTCATCAAAATCTCAGAAATCCCAAGGTGCAGTCTTTATCAAAAATTAGGGCCAGAGAAACGTCCAGGATCAGCACCAAGATAGATCAAATTAACAGAAGTGCAATGCTACACTTTCAATTTACTTTTAACAGGTTGAATAAATGACAGAAGAAACAGTTCCAAGCAGAAAATTTGGGCCCAAAATGATTTTTAAAGCAACTTTGCTATTTTGCTTGATAAACAGAATTTCCTACAAAAATTCCTGGTCATGCACGTAATCCTTGGATCATTATTTTTGTTCCTGCAGTGTCTCCAAATGATGACATGGATGAATAGTTGAACAAACTTCTAACATCAAACATGTTAAATGGACTAACTAGAGCTAGAGTTCTCAACCATCAAAACACCTTGAGAATTGTGCTAAGAATGTTGCACATTGGTCTTGAAGGAGAGTAAGATTCATCAAATCTTTGGTACTGAAACAATCTACAAGGGCACTGTTGAAAAATTGCCTTTCCAGAGGCTTCCGCAAATCAAAGTCATTACAGTAATCATGCCTGGCACCTGCATTGTATTATGTGAAATGTGCATGCTTAATATTTGTAATGGGTTGAATTGGTGACTCGTCTGCAAGTACAAGGTTGTACGTTATACATTGCCAGTTTCTCCTACTTTTTTTAATATATTGACAGAGATTCATCTCTATTTTTAACACACTCAGATAGACATAGATTGTTGACATTTTTGTACAATCAGAAAATCTATGACAATTGCATCATATTCATTCTCAAAGCACATGCCACCATATGTAATTTGTTTTGCTTAAATGACAGTAATATTATTTGTAACTACTGGAAAAACAATTTATCAGTGACCAAAAAACTAACAAAGAAACTTGATTTTATAATACATGCAACTTTATAATGCAAAATTTCATGGTTAGAAATCCATGAGAAAGGTAAAAGTTCTTACTTTTTGAGCAAGAAAATAACTATATTATGCATGAAGCTCCATATGAGCATAGCAATAAGTAACCAAGGACAATAGATGCTTTTGTGCTTTTTCATCAAGACAAGCAAAATTAAAACCATCCAAGAGATAACATTAGAATGTATTTAAGATCAAACAAGCTTACCATTGCCAGAGCCAGTGTTTAGCTGTGGCTCACAAAAATACTTCTTGTATTGCCAAGCAATTCTCAAATCTTTATCCTGAAATTACACACAACATGAACAGCAAAATAAAAGAAAATAAATGCGTAACAGAAGAAATGAACAAAGTACGTTACATGATTAGGATCATGTTCACGAGATTTGTCATCTTCAAGTGACCGTGGATTAGGCAAAGTACCCAAAAATCCTCTAGGATCTCTAGATGGGCTAGCATAAAAGAGTGGTTGCTTGTGGACAAGTCCCTGAGACATAAAATTTCTCAATAGAAGCATATGATGAGGTGCTTCAGCATCTTCCATCACCATGACAAGGCTACCCAGAGAAAAGCCGCCACCTAAAATCTCTAGAAAAGGAAAAGGTTCTATGAGTAGAGACTAAACATAAATCACAAAAATAAATTGAACACATTCATGTACTCTAGATGCTTTGAGAATAGTGAGAAAGAGAGAAATTACTGTCTAAATCTGGAATGCCAGATGATAAAAACGTTGTTCCATTAGGACCATGCTTAAGTCCAGGATTCTGAGAAGACGTTATGTTAGGAACATTGCGAGAAAAGCTACTAACTCGAGCCTTGGTTGCAGACATAGCTGCATCAACAGTCTATATGCAAACTATAGCAAAGTAGTAGATGAAGGCCAGTCCAATGCACTGCAACTCCAAATAAACAATGGCAGAAGTACAACAGCCAATTACACACCATTCAAGAAAAAACCATAACTAAAACAACTCAATCCGTAAATATTCCCAAATTCAAAAGCGTCGATATTCAAACTATCAAACGAACAGATTCAGAGCCAAATTAAAATGAAAAATTTTAAACAAAGCAAGAATAACCGCCGCGGGGAACAGATTCAAATCTAAATACAAAGGCAGAGAGAACAAATGAATCTCACCGGACCCAGACCAACCATGCAGGGCCGACAACAGTAGACGGCGTCGACGACTGTGAAATGCTTGTTCGTCGACGAAGGGAAACAGAACTGGAACTGCTACTCGTTGTGTTTAGTCGGGGATATAATTAATTTTAGGTAAAATGTAAAACAGTATTACAAAAATTTATGAGATTTTTACAAGAATTTTGTTAAAATTTTGACAATACTAAATATGCTTTTAAAATTATTATTTTTTCACCTTTTTTTTTCCTGAATTTTTTTTTTCACCTTCCCATTCCTTTTCTCATACTAAATATTCTTTCAAAATTTTTCAAATAAATAAAATGAATTTTAGCCCTCTACTTCATTGAACGGGTAAAAGAAATAGTTGACTAAAGAAAATAAAGCAGATGAAAACATAATTTAACACATAATTTTATATCAACACAAAATATACACTTTCTCAATTTAAAAATATATAGTATTTTTTGAAAGGTTAAATGTTAAAAAATATAAAGTATTTTTAGTATAACATGGTATAGTTAATATGTTTTTTCTAGAAGTATTCATAATAAATAAATTATTTTATATTTATTTTAAAATAAAATGTTGTATTAAATAAGGATAAATATAAAAATATAGTGTTAGTTTGAAGATAATTAACTATTTTATTAAAAGATGACACTCAATTAAAATATATTATATTTTTAAATGGAAGAAGTATATATCAATGGTGAAGATAATAATTCAAAGTATATATAAATTATAAAAATATTGATTATTTTGCAAATGTTTGAACATAAACAAATATCTTAACATAAATGTCAATCAAATGAATATAATTTCACAAATGAGCTCAAACAAGCCTCATGCGTAATTTTGCAAATGTGACTAGAGTCACACTGAACATCTAAAGCCATCAACTAAAGTCGAGTTTGTAGGGTCAACTTTTTTAAACCAAAAAAATTTAAGGCAAGTTGTTATTTTAAAATGTAAAATAATAATTACACCTTTTTAAATCCTAAGACAAATTGGTTGGCCTTTTAGGACTAAGGTTGGCTCTTTTAAGTCCTTTTTAATTTTTTTAAAAAATTTTGATATTAAAAAAATTAAATACTATACTAATTCTAAACCCTAGTCTTATTTCATAAAAGTGACGAAGGAATATATGAAAAGTTTAATATTTTTGCCACTGATGGAGCTCTACAAGGAGAAGAATGAAAATATATTGATGCTGATGATAATGAAAGTCATCAAGATTTAGCTAATAATGCTAACAAAATTTGATTGTTATCAAGGTTGATTTTATGATGATGTTGTTTTTTGTTAGACTTAAATTTGTTTTTCTAAGCTTATTGTTAAATGTAATAATTTTTTGAGATTTTAAATATGTTTTTTATTTTTAAATTAAAAAATAAAAAATATAGAGTTGAGGCGTTAAAGACTAAAGCTGAACTGAACAAAATGGAGTCATGCCTAATCTGTTTAGGCCTTAGCCTTTTAGGACCCGTTAATAGCTCTATAAACATCTAACATTATTCTCCTCTAACTAAGAATCATTGGATACACGATAAAAAAATCATTAACCCATGTGACCAGACAACGATGGATAGTATGCCACTGAAAACAAGATTATTGCGTCTGGTTCTAAAAATATCACTGCATCTCATGAGCAGATAACATATCAAAACTAATCCAAAAGCCCATGAACGTAGCAATTCACAGAACTCGAACATGATCAATAATAATATATAGGCTTCAAGCTTTACCATGGCAAGCAAAAATACAGCGGGGCTTAATAAGTTTTTGACCCAGATTTTCAAAAAACCTCACGACCCTTTAATGGTTAGTTTGTCTGCTTGGGAAATTATGTCTCTAATTACACTTTGGAGGATCTTAGTTGCTCATTTCACAAAATCATTTTGATGGTTGGGTGCCCCCTCCACCTACTGAGTATGTTAAGGTTAATGCTGATGGAGCTATGGATCCCACTACTTACAAAGCTGCCGGGCGTGGATGTGTGTTGATGGATCACAGGGGCCACTGGATTGTGGGATTCTGTCATAATCTAGGATTATGTAATGCTTATGAAGCTGAGAAATGGGCAATAATGAAATGCCTTTGACTGGTCTGGGATTTTGGCTTTAGGAAGGTTCTTCTTGAATTTGATTGTGAAACCCTTGTTGAGCAGATTAACAGGGGAAAAGAATATAGCAACAAGGGCAGCATGGCTCTTCTGGAATTCATAATATGACTGGGAAATTAAAATACAGCATGTGTTGAGGAATCAAAATCAAGGGGCAGACAAGCTAGCAAAGGAAGGAATGTCTTACTTTTCTTTATTTGAAGTTGCTCCAGAATTCTTAAGGAGCTTAGTCTTTTATGATAGATTGGGATTTCAATCCTCCTGTGTGTAATTTCTTTTTAATGTATTGGGCTTAGCCTTCTTTATCAAAAAAAAAAAAAAACAAACAAGCAAACAACAATAAGTATATAGGACGGAACAAAACAGACAACTTGAATTACTCTAAATTCTAAACCCAAAGTGAGCCCAAGCACAAAATGTGCACTTTCCCTCATCAACCAAGCAACAGTCCAGAAAGTAGACAAGAAGAACCGTCAACATCAAAAAACAGAGAGAACTAGAAATTACCGAAGAGATGGGAAATATGACTTAGGCAACGATTGGGTAAACAGCTTTTAGCTTTTAGAAAATGCTTTTGGGTGAAAAATTTGGTAAGAAAATCTAATTTGAAGTCCATTCTGAAAGCCATTGAGAATGGCTCTAGGGTAACTTTTTAAAATTACATTTGAATGTTGGGTATTAATAATGATTAATGATTAAGTTAAAAATGTGTATTTAACTTTTAAATTGACCAGATTGTAGATTACAGACTAAATAACTAATCATATTGATTTTTAGTGCTAATATATATTGAATTATTTCTATAAGTTTTGGCCAACATATTAAGCTATATATTTTTTATTCTTATCATTATTTAATATCAAATTTTATGTTATTTAAAATTTTTATCACATATTTTTTAAACATTTCTAATGCATCATGTTTGTATAACTAAAACTACAAATTATAAAAATCAATGTTTTTTTAGTAATAGTACATTCAAAAGTATTTTTTATTATATCAATTCAAAAAACTTTCAATTTATCAAATTAAATTTTTAAAAAAATACATATTTAAATATAAATTTCATTACAAACTTAACTTTCGTCATAAAGTGCTGAGAACCATGTCAATGAAATCTCATCATGCTTGCCATCACTGCCAGCACATGCCATCTAATCTTTACCTAAACCTAGTGTGGGTCCTTCCCATTGTATGGAGTCTGAAAAGTGAATCATAATATTCATAATTCATGAATAAAACATTTTGTTAGAATTATTATAACACACACACACATATAGTATATATAAAATTTAAGAATGAAAGGGGCAATGATCAAAACTTTGACTGATTGGTCGAAAAAGAATGGTGGTTTTAGTATGTATATCCATAACTAATGCAAACAATATTTGGGCTAGAAGCATGTTAATATCTCTCACCAATGATCTTTCTCACAGTTCATCTCCATTCTAGATTATTGAAATATCAGGCAATACAAGTTCATGCTACTCAAATTCCACATGAACTAATAAATCATCATCTGGTGTGTCCCCAATCTTCTTCATTTTCGCATGTAGAGCAATAAGCAAATAGTTCATCTCCTCTGATTGAGAATGTGACTTATCACTAACAACAAATACTTGCACTTTATTGTTGACTTCTATCCAACTACAACCAGGTTGCTTCTTTAATCCTTTGTCCTTCATTTTCATCCTCATGATAGCAGCTTCTTTCCACTTTCCCACTGATGCATACATGTTAGATAGTAAAGAATAAGTTCCAGCATTTTCAGGTTCAATTTTAAAAATCTTTTTTGCAGCTAGTTTACCAATATCAGCATTTCCATGGACATTACATCCAGCAAGGAGAGCACCCCAAATAGACAATGATGCCTTTTCTCCAAGTCCTTCAATGATATTATAAGCTTCTTTCAATCTTCCTGCTCGACCACAAAGATCAATCAAACATGTGTAATGATCTTCTTTGACTTGGATGGACTTGTCTTTTACAAGATTATCAAAGAATTTCAACCCCTCCTCCACTAAACCAGAATGACTGCAAGCAGAGAGCAATTCCACATACGTGACATCATTTGCATGGTGCCCAGATTCTTGCATTTCATTGAATAGGTTAATCGCCTCCTTACCACATCCATGGTGTGCGTATGCAGCAATCATGCCATTCCAAGATATCAAATCCCTTTGGCCTGATAAATCATCATCAAACAACTTCCTAGCAGCACTTAACTCTCCACACTTTGAGTACATATTTATCAGCGCAGATACCACACATGTGTTGTCCTGATAGACTGTTTTACTTATAAGTTGATGAATTTGTTGTCCCTCACAAAGACCAGCTAAGTCACTGCAAGCACCCAAGACAGTCACAAAGGTTCCTGTGTTCGGTTTAATCCAGTCAATAGCCAGCATTTTGTTAAGCATTCTCAATGCTTCTTCACTTCGCCCATGTTGCACATAACCTGTCATCATTGCAGTCCATGTAATGACATTTTTTTGTGGCATTTCATTGAATAGCTTTTCAGCCCTATCTAAGTTCCCATTCTGAATGAAACCTGTGATCATTGCATTCCAAGAAGGTGTGTCTCGTTCAGGCATTCTCTCAAACAATTCTATAGCTTCATCAAACCTTTTATTCTGGGCATAACTGGCAATCATTGCATTCCATGAGACCACATTACGCACAGGCATATTATCAAAAAGAGCACGAGCTTCATCAATTCTACCATTTTTTGACAATCCTACAACCAAGGCAGTCCATGAAATCACATCCCTTTTTGGCATATGATTAAAAAGCTTACATGCATCCTCAATCCTCCCACATTGAGACAATGCTGTAATGATAGTATTCCATGAAACTACATTTTTCTCAGGCATTCTCCTAAACAAATCTAAAGCCAACTCAATTTGATCATTTCGTGCATATCCGTCAATCATTGTGTTCCAAGACACGACATTTCTCAAAGGCATTGCATAAAATAACCTCTCAGCTTCTTTTATTTGCTTGAACCTTATATAACCAGCAACCATGGCAGTCCATGTGACAACATTGTTTTTGGCATCCACTCTATCAAACAGCCTCCTTGCTTCCTTCATCATCCCACATTTGACATATCCAGATATCATAGTTGTCCATAAAACAACATCCCGTTCAACCATTCCCTCAAACAGCTTGCGTGCTTCATCTATCCTGCCTTCCTTGCAGAGATTTGAGATTAACATATTAGAATGTTTCATTTCCAAATTTGCACCCCCTTTCTCAGGAAATGTGATGGCCAGAGAGTCACTTGGAAGACTGGTCATAGATCTCCACCTAACCATGCCATTTATGAGTAGAAGTCTATTAATCTCAAAAGCTTGGATCAAAGTGAATGGTGATCGAAAGCTTGCCAGCATTTCAAACTCAATGGCCCATCAAATGTCGTACATGTTTATAGACAAGCATCCATATTTTATAGTGTACAAAATAATATACCAACTACAATAATGATAATGACAACTAAAGTTAAACCTATGAAAAGCCCTGACCTCAATATAGTCACACAACCAAAAGAAATTCCTTTTGTTAGAAAGCTGATGCACAACTTGCCCACTTTGAGAGGTCCTTGTGCTCAAAGATGTCCATCATTGTCCATGAAGGTCAAAGAAGTGGAGGCTGCAAACACAGTGCTGCCTGCTGCTCTTTTCCTAGGGACAAAAAGAAGGACTGCATGAAAGAGTCAACTCTGCTCAATTTGGCACCAAAGCTTTAGAGTTTAGGACAGGCAACAGCTGTCCAGACTTAGTTAGAACTGGTCATAATCACCTTTGTTTTGTATTCTCTATCTCATTCCAGAAGAATTGGTTGCCTCCCACTCTTTCAATTATGCTCTCTTTTCTACCACAAGAATGTGTCATCTTCAATTCAGACTTTCATTCCTCTATTTTTTTGTTGGGCTTCCAAATCCTCTGCATTTTAAGAGAGAGATGCAGACCACATACCGTGCATCTTGCTATGTTTCTGCAGCAAAGTGGCTTTTGGTTTTCATGTCATGGGCTTGTTTTGACTTCTCTGTATCTTCAACAATAACTAAAAACCAGCAAAATCACACAACTACATTAGACCCGAATCAAACACTTGTTTCTGACAGATGCAGCATTAAATATCAGCATGACGAATTAAAGCAAAATAACAAATTAAAAAAAAACCTACAAAGGGGGGGGGAAGAAAAAGAGTGACAAAAATGCAAAGACCCCTCCACCTTGAGCTTAGAACAGGCAGTGTCAGTGATCTGAGTGAATTAAAGATACAAAAGTGGCCAGTGAAGGTTCAAACCCCGAGAAGAATGAGTTCAACCAAAGAAGAGAAGAAAGCGGGTAGGGATGAAAACAAGCTTGAGCGCACAACAGGGGCCTCAAGCTTGAGCCAGCAAATTGTGATAGGTATGGCCGGCCTACATATTAAGTAGGCCTTTAAAAAGGCTTCTAGAATCAAGCCTTAAAGTTTTTAAGTAGGCTTCAAAGCCAACAATGTGTAGGCTCTAAAAAGGCTTAGATATTAAAGCCTAGTCAAAGCCTATTTAAAGCCTACATGCTATTAAATTAAAGTAAAACCTGGGATAAATCCAAATAGAAATTTTCAAATAAATCCAAATTATTGGAACAATACAGCACAACAATCTGATAAACCATGGATGCTACTTGTGTGCTTGATTACATGAAATCAAGGAAATGAAGGAAGCAGTGAAATCATCAACATAATGACAAGTCTAGACTCCACTATTGGACAATCTGAATCATTTAGATTTATAGAAGGGACTGATATGAAGCATTAAGAGAGATAAAGGAGAAAGACAAAAGATGATGAAATAAAGAGGAAATATAAGTATCACACAATTTATGAAACTACAAGATCCATCAAAGACAAAGAAAGAAGTTACCCTTGAACAAACAATAAAAGAAAGAAAGGACAATTAAATGACAAAATTTAACATTTTAGATTATATTTTACAAGGCTCCCGCGCCACCTTGGCAAGAAAAAGGAGAAAACTTGGGGAAATTTTCCTACATGTTCGTTTAGATTCTCTGATAAAAATTCAAAATAGTAACAAATCTCCAAAAACATCAATCATACGACATTGAACTGAAAAAAATATCAGTATCAATAAAGTGCAATCTGTCCAACACAAATAATACCATACCTGCGAAGCTTCTAACAAGGTAAAAACAAAATTTACTTACCTAAAATATTTCCATTAAGGTTGTATTATATTAATTTTCCTTCAGAGACCAGCAAGGAATGGATGCAAAATTATGAAAGTATATGCAGATTGCTAATAGCAGGCATCATCAAAGGAGTGATAGTCAGATAATGAAAATGATCAAATCCATCAGCTTTGAATCTAAAGAAAAAGAGAGCTTGAATAGTTTAAATGATCCCCTACACAACTTTCTCAGTTGCATCCCAGAAGGAACTGCATCATAAGGACACTAGATGGCTAGAGCATATAGTGTTGAAGAACGGCTAATTAGCTACTTACCAATTTATGATACAGTCAGTCATATAGAGCTTTAACCAAAGATGTGCCATTTTTAATCACAGAGCTTCAATCAAAACTTAGGATGCAATCGTACAGAGCTTCAATCAGAGCTGTACCATTTTTAATCACAGAGCTTCAATCGAAACTTAGGACACAGTCATCCAGAGCCAAAATTTAAACACCCATAGCTTCAATCTTTCAATCATTTAAGCAGAAAACATTCAACCCATATCTCACAGTAAAAATAAAACCAGAATAAGGAAGTTAATGAACTTGGAGCAGGAAAGAAGCAGATGAGAGCTGAGAGAAAGAAGCAGGCAGCAACTACTACAGAATGCAAATGGCAGTGCATTTCGAGCAGCAGCAAAAGCTTGAGCTGGACCACGACAGAATGCCAATGCGAATGGAGGACCACGAGGTAGGTGATAGCGATGACAATGAGGTTTGATTTCAGAATCAAAATGAAGGAGGCAAGGAGCAAACATTGAACGGGTTTGTAATAGTGCAATTTAAAACAGAGAATCTTAATTAAGAATCCAAAGAATATGACAGTTCAACCCAGTTTCAGGGGAATTCAATCCTATTCTGTGATGAAGTGATGTCAAATTAACCACAGAAACCTGTCCTTTCAGTTCATGTAAGGTTTAAAAACCTAAAGATCCTCAATTTACACCACTGATGAAGCATTTTCCAGGGAAGCACAACACGAAAGTTTCTCCCTAAAATAACTATGTATCTCAGAGAATAGGGAAGGAACACTTGATTTAACCAAACAATAAGAAAAAAGAAAGCCTTTGATGCGCCAACTCTATGACAGAAGAACCGTGATTGAAAGAATATTATTTATACAAGCACAAAGCATTGTTTCTTATACATACCATGGGAAAACAGAATGAATCGTGAACTATTCATCCTTAAAGTAAGGGAACGGACAAGTTTTCTAATAACACAAGGTAGTAGCTCGGAAATTCTAGCAAAACAAGGAAAACAAATAACTACAATAGATATAATCGTTAAGAGACTATAAGCTCAAACACAGAACACGCTTGAATTGGAAATTTTGTCAAGGCTACAGAACAATGAATCACGTTTTAACATCACACATTATGATTTGTTGTAGATTTCAACAAGTTCAGTTCATCAAGCTTTCTAAGGATTTTACTTCTAAAAATTTAAAAAATTAAAAGTGCTTGATTACTTTGAAATTATCCTGCAGACAAACAGAAAAGATAAGGCAGGTGATGGAGAAACGAGTGAAACCTGTGGCGACCGGGACGGCGACGGCGACGGCGACGAAGACGTAGGCTGCGATGACACTGCTGCAGGTCAGGGACTATGGCGCGCGCGCGAGAGGAACGGTCGAAGATAATAGTCAATGGGGAAGAATAGGTTTATTTAGGAGGTGCATTTTTAGATTATGAAAATGTGATATGAGTAAATTAGTCACAATACAGCAGAATTATGATGAGCAAAACTGAAAATCAAACCAAATTAAATTGAATTCAATATATTTGATTTGATTGATTTGGTTAATTAGTTGGATTCGAATTTTTTTTTTTAAATTTCGGTTGATCATTAGATTCCTTCTGCGAATTATACACACACATATGCACAATAAAATATATGCTTTTATCAGTTTGAGAATATCGGTCATATGGAAAAGGGATGACAAATAGTAACAAAGATCAAGGTATAATATTAAAAAAAAAAAGAACCAAAAAAAAAGTAACATACATTCAGGTAGTATAATGTAAAGCTCAAAATTGAATTAATCAAATCAAATCATTAAAATTCAATTTAATCCTAGTTCTATTTCATTTGGTTCAAGCTTTAAATATTGTTTGGTTAATTAGTTTATGTATTTTAATATTAAATCAAACCAACTAATATTGACCCCTACCTCTCTCCATAACCTCTCATTTGGAGGAAAAGGTTTGGAGGGGAGGGAAGGAGAGGCAAAATGTTACCTCCCATTTTCGTATCTCAAATAAGAGAAGGGGACAAAACAATTGTTGGGGAGTCTCAATTTTGGCGGCTCTATGTCCCATTATTTTTGCCACATCATATTTTTCATATTTTAATTATTCTATTAAACACTGAAAAGTTAATAAAAAAGTACTTATAAAGCACACACAGTGAAACTTTTAAAAGAAATTCCTTTCTTAACTACTCTTTAAAACTATACTCTTTTGTTTCTTGATTGATTAAACTCATATTTACCTCTTGTGAAGCATGGCATACATAAGGAAGATAGATAAGGAAAGTCAAATCACTATCTAACCCAGTACAACTTTTAAAAAGAACTCTTCTTTTATACTTAATCATGTCCTTTGAGTCTTAGTAAAATTTTTATCATTATCTTTCTCATTTCTTTCTTTCTTAATTTAGCCCAGTCTCTTACTCTCTTTTCCTTACCGCGCACCTTTATCCTCTTATAACATTATGGCATACTTATATACACAATTTATAAATAAATATTATAACATCTTTATACCATAACTTATATGGCACCTTATTGTCCAAAGGATAGGTCGACTAAGTAACGCCCTATTACATAAAAACTTAGGCAATAGTAAACTATTATATGCTTGCAAGTCACCCAACTTATACATCAGTATTTCCTTTATTAGTCCCATTGGTACCTAAAAGGTTAGTCAGAGGGAATGAGATTTGGGGGAATTTCAGTAGCAAAACTATATAACTCAAGCACTTAAAGCATGATATGCTTTTCATAAACATTCAAAGCCATGTTATGAATATCATAATCATAGCATGGAAAATCACATTGGCCAAAGAATCCAACATAACATCATCATCATAAACATTTTATGAATTTAACATTCATAACCATACATGGCAAGTAGATCATCTTATAACGTGCTCATGAAATAAATATAAGAGTTTCATAGTAATTTGCTATCTGTCTCAGCAAATTCCTCTTAAGCTTTTGACCTTAGGGTATGTTCACAAATATCAAATCTTATCATAGAAATTTAATACTAGGGTTAACATGAACATAAAACTTCTTTAATAATTAAAGAATGCACCCTAGCCTACCCTAACCTAACTTAAGTTAGGGACTAAATCAGGTGACCTACACAAGCATATGGACATTTGACTGTATATAAGATTAAATATGGCATTACAACTTTAACTCTAAATAGCAATTGGCTTAGTATCAAATGGCTTTAAGGGAGACTTCTCTCTCAACCTATAATTTCATTAAAATTCTCTTGCATGCCTTTCAAGCTTGTCATGCTCTAAGTGACTAGATTGGGTATCATTCATTAACATCCCACTATCCAATAACATATAAGAAAATATATACATTCTTTAACATAGACAAAGCTTGAGAAATCATAAAATTGGCCTCATGCTCTTGGCTAAGTACTTGATCCTTAGGCCTCTTGGAGCTATCATAGGACTCATACATTCATTTGCATCCATTACATAAATTTCAAAGCCATGGAAAGATAAACTTTAACCTCAAGTCAATGCTAGTATATGTCATGTACTAATATCTTATACTTGGTGAACATACTTGCACAAATTCCTTAGACCTCTAAGATACCATTCGGTTACATAACTTAACTTTACTATATAACTTTCATGACTTGGAGTCCTTAAATTATTGGCCTCAAAAGGAACTTAACTTTATCTTGACTTCTTTGGCCCATCAAGACTAGCTTTAGGTGGCAACAAGTGCCCTTAAAATTCAAGATTAGTCTAAACCCATAATGGAACATAAGGTCCATTAACTTTGGACTTGTAAATTTTCAAGTTTCTGTCCAATTAATTTCTATTCTAGAATTATACCTTAAATTTGAAAAATCATAACTAATTTTTAAAAAATCATTTCAGCATAATCTAGGTCTAGAATTAAACCTTGAGAAGTCCTCTTCAATGAAAAAATAATTTCCAATAGACCCTATGCACTATAGACAACTCATAAACTCGAGAATTATAATGTTTTAAATTCGCCAATACATTTTCCAGATTTCAAATCCCAAATTTGAAAATTCATAACTTATTCATTAAGAATCATGTAAGCCTGATTCTATTGTATAATTAAACCCTTTAACTCAATTATATAGCAGAAATACAAATTGGACAATTCATCAAACATACATTTCCAAAATCGCACACAAAGTTCATCATCACAAAAATCTCTTCTTGTCACTTCCAGACTTTTAGCCTTAAATTGTAAAATTCATAACTAATTCTGTACATCTTTGATTTAGGTGAAACAAGACTCTTTTAAAGGTTAATGCGTCTTCTACTAGTGTCCCAAATTTTGTGTTCTGATTCAAAATACAAATTTCTAAAACTACCATGCAATAAGGCAAACTTGAATCTAGACAGTAATGAACTTGTGTTTAGATCTCATAGATTAACTTAGGGTTTGAATCTCATACAAGCTCTTAGAAACTTCCAGCCCATAAATACACACATGAATCAACATTAAATATCACTTCCAAGGTTCCCAAAACTTCATCCAAGTCCAGAAAACAAAATGAAAATTTAGACAACATAACACCCAAGATAAAAATCATATGCGAGCTTCTAATCTTATGGTTTTCATTAAGATTCTCAACATGCAATGCCATACACATCTTCAACACATACTTTTCTGCCATTTTCAGCCTCTAAACTCAACGTCCAACATGAAGGAGAAAGATATTGAGCTAGCAAAACTCACATTCAAGCTTGGAAACTAAGAGGAAATAGAAGAGAACTTGAAGAATTCATGGTTTACTTTTGAGATTTGGCAGGGAGCTTCAAGATCTCCCTCTTCCTCTTCTCTCTAAAATCCTCTCTTTCTTTGTCTCTAAAGGTTCTACATGAAATTGAAAAATGAAGAAGGAAAGAGGAATTGGTTTTCACTTTAAAACGCTAGACTTCCTTTGCAAGCTTCATTAATGGCATGCTAGATAATTTTGGCTTGCATGATGTCTTCTTTTAATCCATTTTTTCACTTTCTTTAATTTAATTCAAATATGAATATGAATTTTGAATCATCTTTACTCATGTGATGACAAGTGGCATGATCTTGTGTTAGGTGGGGGGCCTACTTTGACTTCTTGACACACTTTTCAACTATAGGGCCAACTGTTGTCTTTTACTGGATTCATTGAGAATTGTGCTTATTAGATGCATGCTTTTACATGTACTTCATTAATTTTGATATGGATAATTTTTCCAAATATATTACTCAGGCTAAACCTTGCCTCATTTTGCTTGCCAAAAACTGTGCTCATATAAGTCCCTATTAGAACATTTGGCTTCCTTGTAAAATGTGTCCTTGATTTATGTGCATTAAAATAATATTTATTTTTCCATACTTATGCACATAAATACTTATCTTTTTGTACCGTAAAACGTGCATTAAATTCTCTTTTCTCATTTCTTGTTAATTTCTTGCCTCGTAAAGTGTACACTCTAACTTTACTCATCTTTATGTGATCGGAGGCTTCTCATGAAGAGTGTAGTCACCTGTAACGCACATTATGGTACATAATACCATAATTAGGCACCTTTGTGCATTACTTTAGTGTAAGAAATATTGGATGTTACAATTTTTCCTCCTACTTTTTACAAAAAGACAAAATTTTTTTTTGAAATATATTTAAATAATAATTAAGGAAAAATATCAATCAAGGACCGCTTAAAAAATTTTATATCAGTCAAGAATTATTTATTGTCAAAACTCGAATGATGGTTGTCAATTGGGGTTAGTCTTTTATCAGTAAGTATCCATTCAGGTTTTAACAATAACTTATTATAAATTAACAACAATCTATTCACGCTTTTTTCCATTTGAATTTTGACAACAATTAACTCTTGATTGATATAAATTTTTTTTCAGCAGTCTTTCCTTTCTATTTTCCCTTCCTTTCAATGGTGTGTGTGATGTCAACTTCAATGCTTGGGATTGTATATCTTTGCCCATTATTCTAATATCTTTTTGGTGATAACTCTAGCTTAGCTCACTAATAATACCTATAATTGTGGCTCTTTCCACACAAAGATAAGACTAGACTAATCTTGGTGTATTGCCACTTAACCTGACATTTTTATTTATTGTATTCAGCTAAATGTATTATGGCTTGTTTGGTAGCAAGGAATTGGAGGAAGAGAAATAGAAGTGAAAGTGGAACTAATATTTTTGTCCATTTGGTATGATGGAAGCAATTTTTTGGTGGAACCCAATTCCATCAAAATTGATGGAAGTGAGTTCCATACCTCACTTGATGGAATTGGGTTCCATTTCTTGGTTAGACACTTTTACCCCTCCCTTCTCCTTCCCTCTTCCATGTCCTTGCCTACTCTCACCGATCCTTACCTCCACTAATAATAGACCTCCACTAGTGATGGTCATCTTGCAACAATGATGAAAGCTATGATTCAAGTTACAGT